ATATATATATATATATATATGTGTGTTATATACGCTATCTATTTTCGGCAAGGCATGGCATACACTGTTCTGTCAAATTTTGGAATCGAGGTTGGTTTGTCTAAACGACCACACACCACAACCTGGAAGCGTGCTACAGGGAACCGCTGCACACCACTGCACGTCGATCGCTCCACCCTTTCCTATATAGGACTATATAGGGCTTACCATGGAAGTTAATGAGTGTATATACGACCATAAATGGCAGATGGTATATAGCGAATTTGCGATCCATCCTATATTGGACATTGGGCGTTGGACGTTGGGTAGGTATTTTGCTGCTTGCTGTCTCCCTCAGTTGCGTGCGGTACGGTCTGGTCTTTTGGCATCTCTCTCTCTCGTCTGGGTTCCCATCTTCATATGATGGATGCATGGATGATGCTATGGTTCGCTATGGCTCATTATAATTGATCCCACTTACCAGGACAGCTCTCAACACGGACACGGACAAGGCTTGGCCTTTCACGGCCATAGATGGTATATAGAATACTCCCGATCCATGCCGTATTGGGCGTCGGGCGTTGGATATTTTGCTCCTGTTTCTGTCTTGTTGCGTGCGTGCGTGCGGTCTTTTAAATTGGATGTCTCTCTCTCCCTCTCTCTTTCTCGTTCGAGTCCCGTATTTATATAATAGATGGTTCAAATAATGGATGGATGGATGGATGGATGGATGGTTGTATGAGGTAGTGCATGGCCAGTTATCTTGACTGGTTATGGATGTTCAGAACTGAAGCTGGCTGAAAGGCTCTGCAGAGATGGAAAGTGTGCTGCATTGGCTCAGATTGGCAAATGGTTGGGAGTGGTTGGGAGTAGGTCGCGCGATGTTTTCAATCAAGCCTTAAGAAAAAGCAGTGGCAGTGGACAGGGAGAGGTACATAGACACATTGGATCGATAAATGAATGAAAGGAAGGCATTTGAGCTTTGGAGAGCTCGACACTAACACAGTTGTTTTGTGTTGGAAAACATCGCCATACAGCAAGCGTTCATATGTTATATGGAAAGCTGGACACACCAGGACCGAGGCACCATTGTGATATTTTGATCAAAAAATACATGACATAAACAAGAGGCATATCGAAAACAGTTGATGTGTGCGTGTGAAAGTATATTCAAAGTGTGTCGTGATGTCGTGATATATTCGTTAGACGTGATGCTGAAAGCGGACCTGACTACCCTTGCCAGCCTTGCTACCCATCTTCATCCTCCTTCAACCTTCGCCCACCTCTGCACGTACAGCCACCTCAAGTCGTTACTGCACGCGAGATATTTGATAGCCGTAAAGGAACTTGCCTCGGACAAGAAATCCAAAACCCTCATCATTTCTTCTGTCGAGATTTTCGCCGAGTACCGCTTCTGGATATCCTGCATGGCGGCGTGCACCTCCTTGGCGCCAGCCAGTAAAGTCGGCGCAGAGAATGTCGGCTGCTTGGTTGACGTGGCCGTGCTCTGCGTACTCGCTGTTATTGTACTCGCTGTTGTTGTGTTGGACATCCTCCTTTTCCTTGTCGTTGTTGTCGGCTTTACACCATCTTCCCTGGCCGCCCGGGCGCTCTTCATCACCTTCATTGCCTGAGCCATGTCCTTCAACACTTCGCTCTTGACCATCTTCTCCACCTTCACTGTCATATCCTGCAGGATATCATCGACCCACACCTCCTCGATCTCCTTCCGGAGCTCCTCCTGAACCGACTCAACCGTCTCGGCCACCCACTCCTCTGTCTGGGTCAAGAGGGTGCCCTCGAGCTCGCAACGCACATCATGCATCTGGTCGTCGATCCTATCGTTCATGTGACCGAAGATGTGCTCCGCCTCCTCGGTGTCGTATCGGCATGTGTTGTCGACATTGAGACACTCGGCTATCAATTTCTCAACCTGCTTAACTCTGCTGTCAAGGTTGGCGGTGCGGTCGAGCACTCTTCGAATGGCGAGGAGGATGTGCTTGTTAGTGGGAGAGCGAGAGAGCAGTTCGCTTGTGCATCGACGCTTCCGGACTGAAATGGGCACGGCATTAGTCTGGGGCAAAAGTCTTTTTGGAGGTACCAAGGGTTCATACCAGTCGGGGTAGAGAGCTGATTTGGGCTTTGGAGATGGCCACCTGGGACAGAAGGCGGCCGTACCGATTCATCTGGCCTCTTATTCTCTGTGGTTGTGATGATGGTGGTCGCCACAGGAGACAAGGATCCACTTGAACATCGTTTTCGGTCTGAAAGAGCGCGGTGTTAGCTGCAGTTTGAGAGATGGTGCCACGGTAATGGAATACGGGATGCACGGACCATTAGAAGCCGAGTACCTCGGCGCAGTCCCAGAGCCATCTTTAGGATATGGGGGGGCAATGACGCCTGTCGGTTCCGCTGCTGTTTCCTCTGCCATTTCTGCCAAAGTCTGGCCGGTGCTGGAGCCCGCAGGGACCGGAATCCGGCGCGGGTCAATCACTTCGCCCAGCCCGGTGGGGAATAACGTATCAAGGCATGTCCGTTCCTCATCGGTTTCCATAGAGCCGAATCGGCCGGACGAGAAGACGGAGGGCAGCAAAGCTAAGTGTTCTCGAGCCTCAGGTGTGAGGTTGAGAATGTTCAGATAAACAGTAAATTGACGCACTGTACCCAAGGACTTGATGTCGTTGAAAATACCTTGATACCGTGCCTTCGGTTCCAGGGGCGATCCTTTCGGGACTACAAAACTGGGTGGCCGTGACATGGTGAAATGAAGAGCGATAAAGTGATGCTCATGACCTTCCTGCATCACGGGGACGGGGGGGCGGGTGCGAGAAGTTTTGATGGACCGGATCCTCTCTGGATATATAAACAGAACGATGTTCGTTTGTTTATTATTGTTGTTCCTGAGACGGATGGATCCATGTAAGGCGAACAGGGCTTGTTTCTTCCCGGTATCCATGTGGAGATCCATGTGCAGTTCGGAGGTATGGTGCTCCTCTTCGGAATCGTCTGTCCATGCTACAACCCCAGTTCGAGCATATAGGTTGATTTTGATGTGTCGGTCATCGTCGGTGGTGAAGGATGCTGTGTCAAGGATGCCGTTGCCGAATTCACGTTGCTCCCTTGAACATATCCGTGAGCGTGGATAACCAAGGGAATTAGTATACCGTCATGAGATTTGGGGTGGTGGTCTCCCCGGTCCAGCGTGACAATGTGACTCTCAGCAACGTCCCAAGCGAATCAAGAATCCCAGTCCTTCCATCAGGTGTACCTGCTGGGTAGGAGTTGGCTGTTTACATAGAGCCTTGACCGGCTGAGAGACGCCACTTCAGACTCGTATCGCTTGCGAGACGGAGCGATGTGCATGTGTGGTGGTGGGCATTCAGCACTGGCCGAGAGGAAGTGAGATGTGATTTTGAGTCAGCGATCATGACACTGCTGTCAACCACCTATTTCTTAACAACGCCCCAAGCGAATCAAGTGACCCAGTCCTTCCAACAGGCGTACCTGATGGGTAGGAGTTGGCCATTTATACAGCCCCTTGACCGGCTGAGACATGCCACTTCAAACCCTATCGCTTGCAAGGAACGGGATTTCGAGTCTTGTCATGATGCCGCTGTCAACCACGTAGCTCTTAGCAGTACCCCAAGCGAATCAAGTGACCCAGTCCTTCCAACAGGCGTACCTGATGGGTAGGAGTTGGCCATTTATACAGCCCCTTGACAGCTTGGGACACATACTTCGAGTACATGCCAACGATATAGCCATCCGTAACTGCCCCAAACAATCAAGAGACCCAGTCCTTCCACCAGGCGTGCCTAATGGGTAGGAGTTGGCGGTTTATGAAGAATCTTAACCGGCTGAGACATGCCACTTCAGACGCGTATCGCTTGCAAAGAACGGGGAGTGGATGTGAAGGGGGAGGAGGGGTTATTGAACAAACTCGTGATGATGGCCAGGCTGCTCCTGGGTGACGGTGCACACGTGAAGCAAGACGGACGCCATGCCTGAATGCTCACCGACCGGGAGGAGCCGAGCAATCATCGCACCGGTAATATGACCATGACTGACTCTTGGGAGGATAGCGAATAAGGCTGTGTCGACTCGTAGTTGACGTCGCGAGGAGGGTGAACGTCGTCACCGTGGTCGGGAAGCCGAGATGGCGGTGTAGAGGGCAGCAAGTCTGCCATGGCGAGGTTGGGGGTCGAGGTGGGAATGAAAAGATACGCGGATTACTCGCGTTTGATCAAGTTGAATTGATGACGGAAGTTGGATGGGCGCGGCGTCGACGGCGATGTGGATGATACGACTCGTGTATTGATGTTGTTCAGGTTGTTCAGGCATTCGTGAGCGACGTGCGTGCGGAGCCCTATTGACTTGGATGCCCTTGCAAACAAAGTCACATGATGCAGCCAGCTGGCGCTCGACGCGATTGGTCACGGTACGCCGCTATAATATGACCAGCCACATCGGATCAAACAAACGCATCAGCCACATTGGATCAAACAAACGCACCAGCCACGATTGGACCAAACAGCCGAGACCAGCCAATGGGATGCAGTGAGGTCATTGACAACTCCAATCGGACCTTGGACTGTGTGCTCAGTAATCCCCCGCTAACATCGTGCGTCTTCTTTGTCAGCGTCTTGGTGGAATTCAGCGAATAACGTCTTGGGTTCTAGATGCAGCTCGGTATATATACCATATTCAATTGTCTTGACATGATCGCGCAAACAACCTTGTTACACCTGTGGTCCCTAAAAAAGAGAGTCTTTATACATTTTGTCACTTGCTCATGAGCCTTCGCTTTCGTCTCAACCTCTCTGCTGCAGTGACATCTCCAGCATTGCTTCGACCCCGCAGCATCACTCCATCTTCTGCCTCTATAAACACGACCGTCCCTGCCATCCGAACCTCTATCCGGAACATCTCATCTTACTCTAACTTGAACTCAACACCCACTACCACCAAAATGGCCACCAAAAACACCCCCGGCGCCGCCGCCGATACCCCCTCCGGCCAACAACAACAACCCTCCGACAAAATCACCGACTGGGTAAAACCCGGTGACAAATCAGGCGAGTTCAAGCGTCAAGACTCCTCCTTCCGCAATTTCATTTCTTCCTCCGACCCTTCCTCTCCCTTCCCTCCCGAAAAGGGCCGCTACCACCTCTACGTCAGCTACGCCTGTCCATGGGCAACACGCGCCCTGATCGTGCGCAAGCTCAAAGGGCTAGAGGATGTGATCTCCTTCAGCTCCGTGCACTGGCACATGGGCGAGAAGGGATGGCGGTTCCCTACTGCTGAGGAAGGTGCTAAGGACGGGGACGCGGCAGGGGAGCAGGTTATCCCGGATCCGGTGGGCGGAAAGGAGTTCATTAGGGAGGTATATTTTGATGTGGAGCCGGAGTATAAGGGGCGGTTCACGGTGCCGGTGCTGTTTGATAAGAAGAAAGGGAAGATTGTGAATAATGAGAGTAGTGAGATTGTGAGGATGTTGGGGAGGGAATTTGGTGGGATTATTGAGGACCAGAAGGCGAAGGAGCTGGATCTGTACCCCGAGGATCTGAGGAGCCAGATTGATGAGGTTAATGAGTGGGTGTATCATGATATCAACAATGGGGTGTATAAGAGTGGGTTTGCGACGACGCAGGAGGCGTATGAGAAGAATGTGGTCAAGTTGTTTGAGGGGCTGGATAAGGTCGAGAAGCATCTTAGGGAGGTGCAAGCGAAGGGCAAGGGGGAGTATTGGTTTGGAGAGAGGTTGACGGAGGTTGATGTGAGATTGTGAGTTCTCTCCCCCCTTTCTGGTTCTGGTGACTTGTGAGAGACGTGGTGCTGACGATGACAACAGATTCCCGACAATCATCCGCTTCGACCCCGTCTACGTCCAGCACTTCAAGTGCAACTTGCGCGACATCCGGTCTGGATACCCAGCTATCCACAGGTGGATGCGTAACCTATACTGGAACGTGCCCGCTTTCCGTGAGACCACCAACTTCTTGCACATCAAGAAGCACTACACTTGCTCGCATCCTCAGATCAATCCCAAGGGGATCACGCCGTTGGGCCCGGTGCCGGATATCCTGCCGCTCGAGGAGGACGTTGAGGCAGTTAAGGCTACGAAGAAGTGAGAGGATGGAGTGTCTATGTCCTATGGTCAGTCAACGGCGGAACAAAACATAACCAGTCACTGCAATACACGCTGTCGCCTAGCAAGTTCGCAACATGTTTGTTACTCAATTTTACCAGACGCATTTCTTGTTCACCGAACAATGGCTTTGTTCTGGCTGTAAATCTTGCACCAAGCGAAGCGCCACATGTGTTAGTATGAACCCTTGTCATCACACCTGCTTATGCAATCAACATTCCTTTCTATCGAATGCACATGTCACTGTCACAAAGATGTCACGAAAACGCAAGGCAAAGAGAGCAAGATTGATCTGACTGTTATCTTTTGGGTTCTGTCGATTGGGTCCTAGCTATATGTATGTGATGAATCCATTGTTTCCATTGGCTTCCTCCACCTCAAAGCGAACGGTTCCCATTTCGAACTGACTGTTAGATCTTCCATTGGCTAGGCGTCGTGTCCAGGTATGTATGTCTACCTGCCAGCAACTACTCCCTTAGCCGGAAGATTTGGGTAATAATCTTTGTTAAACTGTATAGTGCTGAAGATTGAGCATTGCGTGTACTGCTCTTCAACACCAGGCCGAGAGGTAAAGTCTTCAACCTCCCTTTCCACTGCCTTGGTGTTATATGTTAAGGGGTTGGTACGTTGGGATATGGGCAGATGCCCTAGGAGCCGATTGCTACTAGCTGGACAACCAGCTGGCAGCTTTCAGCATCCTGGTTGTGACGTAAGACTGAGGACTTTCGATGCAATATGCAAAGAATCCCATAGCCTGCTGCCACTGTGGGGGTCGAACGGCACGGAGGCGGACGATGCGGTCGGCCGCTAGATCTCGGAAGACTTATGCCACTTGGGGTTGAGGTGGCCAAGATGCTGCTGGAACTTGTACGGGCGAATGCTGTCTTCGATCTGTTTCTTGATCTATAAGAACATGAATACGTTAGTAAGTAAAACAAAGACCCAACAACACTAAAGAGCGGAAAATAACAAACATACCTTGACAGGCTCAGCCTCTCCAAGCTTCCTTCTCACCTCCTCCTTCCACTCAATCCACCACTCGGAACGCTCCAGCAGCCGCTGCAAATCAATAGTGCCGCGCTCCCGAGAGTCAAGACTCTCGTTGACAAACGGCTCGTACGTAAACACCACCTTCTCCAGACATCCGCCCGTCTTCATCTTGCGCTTCAGCTCGTCCACAACGCGGTTGACACTGTACCTGTGCAGATGGCGAAAGCCCTTGAACCGCTCAATGTCCATTCCGCGACCAGCGAACTTGTTCTTCCGAGCGATCAGATCGCGGACCTGGCCGGGGCGGACGTGCGCGGTGCGGAACCCGACGATGATCTCGATGGTCTTGATGTTTCTGCATCGCGTCTGTAGCCACTCCAAACACTTCTTCATCTTGGTGTTCAGCGCCGGCTGGAAGACGGGACCGACGTGCCACGCGACGTGCACGAGGTGCTGCTCTAGCACGGCCCGAAGGGGTGACAGGGGAGAAAACGAACCTGATCCGTCGGAGTCGGCCTCGGCTACGTCCCAGAGCGAGGTCATGGTCGTGTTCAGCTCCGCGCTGCCAAAGGGCTGGCCCCGATACCAGCGCCAGTGCGTCTCGTAACGCAGGTACAGCTGCGTGACGCGGAAGTACTCCCTGTAGGCGACTTTGCGGAAGTGCTGGCTGATGGAGCCGAGCTTGAATAAGTCCTGGAGCTGGCGGCGCAGGTGGCGCGGAGAGGAGTAGAACTCGAGCTGCTGTTGATAGGTGCGGGCGTTGGCGGGGGCGGAAGGGGGTCGGGGGCTGTCCCAGACGTAGCCGAAGATCATGAGTTGAATCTCGTAAGGGAGCTTCATAAAATCGAAGCGCTCATGAAGGAGGCAGGCGGGGAGGAGCGGGAGGACCCTAGCCGGAGCCGGAGCGGGGGTTGCTGACACGGTGACAGCTTGGTTGGTGCCGGTGACGACGTTGCCTGTGACAACGTTGTTGTTCATGGGCTGCTGGTTGACGCGGTGACGCGCCGAAGATGTGGACGCGACACTGGAGGAGGTCGACGCGGTGACAGCGGAAGGAACATGAACATGAACCTGGCCGGCAGCAACTTGACGGGCAACGTGAGCCTGGGCTTGAGCACTCTTAACGGCAGCACGAAGAGCCTGGGCTTGAGCACTCTGAGTGGCAGTACGAAGAGCCTGGGCTTGAGCACTCTGAGCGGCAGCAAGAATAGCCTGGGCTGGAGCACTCTGAGCGGCATAAGAAGCCTGAAGCTTAGCCTTAATGGCAGTAAGAGCCTCGGCCCTAGCCTGAGCGGCATAAGAAGCCCGAAGCTTAGCCTTAATGGCAGTAAGAGCCTCAGCCCTAGCCTGAGCGGCATTCAGAGCCCCAAGCTTAGCCTCAGCATGAGCCAAACCCTGAGCGGCACCAGGAATTCCATGAAGCTGCTGCTGCTTATAAGCCTCAATCACCTGAAGCAAATATAACTGTTGGTCAGTGAGAGCTGCGGCTTGGTTGCTGCCCGGGCCCGTGATGGAAGAGCCTAGGACAGGATTGCCCGCGGACTGGAGCTGGTTGTTGGCTGTAGCCAAGTTGGCGTTAACAGAGTTGTTGACAAAGATGTTGTCAATGACCTGGGAAACAGGATTACCAACGAAGGACGGACTAGACACAACCGAGCTACCAATGGCATTACTGCCGGCTCCCACAACCGGATTGCCTCCAACTGAGTTGCCAGTAGGCGAGTAGTCTATAGTCGAAGTGTTAGTTGACATATTCAGATGCATTTATGGTTGTCTGGGATGGATTCTTACCTGTGAATCCGTCGCCCAAGATCGCGCTGGCGTGAATATAGCTGCCAGTGGCCGAGGTGCCTATGGCTGGATGGAGCTGCGAGCGAGGAATCCGGTTAATGGTGACCGGGTTGTCGTCGTGCGGGTTGCCGAAGCCAGGCTTGGAGGCAGGGACGGGGTTGATGTTGCTGACAATAACCGCGGTGTCGACATCAGAATGGTCGCCGGTATGGTGGTGGTTGCCGCAAGTACAGGGGACGGTAGTCGAGTGGTGTTGAACCGAGTGGTTTCGAACCGAGTTGTTGTCCTGAACTGGGCTGGCCTGAACCGAGTTGTCCTGAGCCGAGTTGTTGTTGATAGCCAACTCCTCGTCCCAGTCGATGCCGTCGTCGACCGGGGCCTGGTTGTCGCCGCCGAAGTCCCAGCCGCCCTCGACAGCGCCATCGTCATAGCCGTTGTCGCGGGCTAAGACTTGCCTAGGAAGCGCATTCGGATCTTCAAAGACATGGAACGCATCATTGAAGTAGGAGAAAGGCATGGTTGCTTGCTTGTCTTAGAAGACTGGTGATGTGTATAATACAAAAGCACTTGGTGTGTCAAGTCCAGAGGTGCAATATTACACACGGGTGTCTTCTAAAATATTGTCTGATGGCCGATGGTGAGAAGTAGAAAAGCAAAGGAAATTTTAAAACTTCTAGAATTTTAAAATAGCTTGCTTTATGTAGGAGCAGGATAGAGACATCATGCAGGTGGCAATACTGCAGGTCCTCGTGAATTGGACTGAGGTCGCCCGCTAGAGCCTGGCAAAAGGTGAAGGATCCCTCAAAAAAGCCAAACCTTAAAACGATATGCTATCTTCAACCAACTAGAGGCAGTATATGGGCGGTGTGTTAGTTTATTTTGTGGGGGAGGGGGGCGGAAGCCCATTCACAGGAAAACTTAAGGTGGCTTCACGAGAGGGGGAAGCTGGGAGGTTGGAGGGGGGATAGCGCTTCATTCTTTTTGGTTCTACAGCCACATATCATCCTCTCTTCATCTTGGGACCGTCTAATCGAATAGAGGTATGTGCCCAGGTGATCAGCCACAGGACTACCCCTCCCCCTTTTTGAGCCTCGTGTGGCAGGCAGCTGGCGCGTCTACAAAGAACATTGAATGGGATATTGAGGTTGACAAAGCATTAGGACGGGAAGAGCATATTTCGGAGTCACTACTGAGACCAGTCCAGTTTACAGAGAAATATATCTTGGATCATGAATCATGCTGACGATGAAAAACACCACTGCACCACTCATAAAAGCATCAGAACACCTTGTATTTTGCTACATCCGGCCGTACTTTTACTAAATAATATTAGCGGAAACAAATTCCAGGCGAATTCCGACACTTTTCGTTACTCCTACTATTCAACCAGTCTTCAAAAAGCTCCTACTATTGTGGAATTGTATCTGTAAAGCAATGTAGACCATGGTATCTCAGCAATAAGCCAACCCTACTAGTTTTGTGAGAGGCATGCGCATTCTATGGCAGGTAATGACCGAGTGTCCCTGGAGTACTGGCCGAGTGTCTTGAAAACTTTTAGGAAAATTTGATTGCGCGTAGCGTGAGTTTCCTCACATTGCAACCATTGACATTGCCGCCGCAGCGCGATTCTGTCACCACCCGAAACCGTTGTCGCCGCGGAGAAAACAACTGGAATGTTGCTGACAAAGCTACGCGCCATGCCATGCCATCTCTTGGTACCACAACCAAAAATCCAGGGTCGCCAAGGGCCAGGCGTCCTTTGTTTGTCACCAACAAGGGGCGCTGGCCACTGGGGGGACCAAACACTTGATCACTGCCGCTTATAAGGACTTGCTAAAAGATCAATGCGATTCAAGATCGGAGGTTGCAAAATGGGAACGAATGGAAACTGTTTGACTGAATGGTCGCGTAGTGTCTGACTTGGTGCTGGCACATACCAAGACTGGAGGAACTGGAGAATATCCGTGAACGAAACGCAGACAACAGGTTTTGAGCACCGTCACAATATCAAGCAAACAAAATGGAGGGGCCAGAAAAACGACACTGTACTCTATTGGGATATGGGGCCAGTTAGTTGATTGGAGATTTGGAGGTAAAGTTATATTCGAGTGTCTGGGTTGTTTCGCGGAGGATCTGGTCGCCGAAGGATTTAACTGCATTGGACAGAATCTACCACCAGGGACTCTTCCATTCGAAATAAGCTCAAGAAGCTGGGTTCAAAGCACAGGCGAAATAAAGACGCCTAAATGTGTGATGTATTGACCATACCTATCATGCTCTCTTTGTTCTTGCTACAGGTACTGTTTGGGCTTCTGGATGTAGGGCCATGACCATACCTATCCTGTCATCAAGGAGAGGTGGAAGCATAAGTGGTCAGGATATGCCCCCTGGAGAATCTTACGAACGATGGCGAGAGCCAGTGCTGCGTGTGATATCTTTGGGCCGTTTGACAAGAGGCACGAAGTCGCCGAGGGCGGGGTTTACGTATATTTGGTATGATTTCGATGGGGCGGGGGGGCATGGTCAGGCTTAGGCAGTCGATGGTAATAAATCGGATCTGTCTTTCTGTTCATCTCCCTATGTTTAACAATCCACCAGCTCGGTATTAATTAGCAAATGAAAAATTGGGTTGTTGTTGATATAATGGACTGACGGGAGAAGGGGAAAGACGACGTGCCTAAGGTACCTTGCCAGACACAGGCCCAATCTTTTCAGAAACGGGTTCGTATGAAGAGTCGAAGCCATGGGATTCTCTCCACGCAATCCACATAAGGTAACTTTGGGTCTCCAAGCTAAAGACAAGCTTCTCGGGCCGTGGGAGACGCACAATTGCGTTCTTCGTGCAGCCTGCGGTAATGAGAGAGTTCATTTAGCTTTGGAAGTGTGCGTTTCTCCGATGGCCGACCAAATTCGTCTTTGTATGGCTCTGCCGCGAACATGATTTTCAGCGACTTCAACCGTTTGAGAGTCGCGAGCCACTGTATACATTGGCCCTGAAGCTCGAGGAAAACTCCCTCATCATAAAAGATGGGTCCCCGATGCAGCACAACGTGCTGAGTGTTGTTCCTCGGCAAACTCAATTTCTTTACAATTCTCATGGTGAGGGCGTGGATCGTGATCTCGGGTTCCCGCCTACTCCAGTCCTATGAGGCTCATGCCAACACTGGGTATGAACTGACCCCGGGGAAAGTACTCGTGGTAGGCGCCCAGCGGGATTTCCTTGCAGATGGAGCCCAATCTGTGGATTGCCTTCAGCTCGTCTCTCAAGCATGTGTGTTGCAGATCGTACTCGTATTCATGATCGTACTGACAGTAAGGCCGCCGGTATTGTCTGGTCCAGGGTCGACTTTCCAGGCATACCGGTAAATTATGGGTTTGATCTCGGTTGGCGAACGCAGGAAAGGGACGCGTTTCTGACTTGTTGCCGGGGGAGTTGTTGGGATCGGTCAATTTGATGTAGATGGAGTTGTCGAGACTTTCGCGATGTGTTCGGTGGAAGACATGGCGGTGTCTGTTCATCGGACATTTGGTGCTAAGACTGCGATGCGATCGGAGGTATCAGATGTAGAGATGTGAGAAGAGGTGTTGGTTCCTAAAAGAAGCAAACGCGAACTCGCGAAGCAACAATGCTCCAATTCTGAAGGAGTTGAGACGGCTGGAGCGGTGGTGAATGATAAACGTGAATCGAAAAACGACATCAGAAAGTTTCGGGTCAGCAGCCAGATGGAAAATGGAAGAAAACCCTTCCAGGTTGTGCGAAGTAAAAAGGTAATGCACACACGCCGAAAACCTACCCCATACGGTAATTCCGGTCAACACGTGTTTAGGTTCCCTGGAAATCACGCATAATCTGTAGGCATACTGCTCGAATATGTGCGTTTTATGCTTGAGGAAGGAGTGTCAGTGGGTGAGAAAGCTGGACAGTCCGGGCACCGTAGAAGTTTGATTCTCCGTTCTTTCCTCATTAATAGGGCGAAAAGGACAAAGAGCTGGGAGTGGTCGCATCAAAAACCACCCTCTTACATATCATTTCCACTTCATTGTGTTTGCTTCAACTCAACCACTTGGGTTATTCCGGACATGGCATCTGGTTTGGAAAGCGCCTTTCCATACATACAAGTAGATGGTCAGATTAACGATCAAAGCAAGAGCAAAGCAACCACGGGTAATATCAGACATTGTAAGAATGGCACAAAGAGGTAGGTTTTGTGTTTTTGCTTTTTGTTTTTTTTTTTTTTTCCTTTTAATCTTTCGGTTGGAGGGAATACGTCTATCGTGTTCATTAGGACACTAGCTTGCCCTTCTACATGCTCTTCCCCCAAGCAGATAGATGGCTCTGACCAATTGACTGACAACCAGATAGTGATTAACTCCTCCCCGTAATATGCGCGAGTCCTGAAGAAACATGAGGTCCTCGCACGGGTCTTCCAACACTTCCACCTCAAATAATTCTTCCGCTGCAATCATGGCCACGGTTTGGCGATAGGTGTCCTGGGTGATAGTTGTCGAGAAAGTAACATAGTAGACTTGGCCCGTAGGGACTAGGGAGGAAGATGACCTCGTTCAGATTTGGTAAGAGCAAGGAGGCTAGCCATAAACCTCGTGGACGCCTATGTGCTGGTCAAACTTGTAACATTTCTGCTTCAAAACAAAATCAGAACCAGTTCCCAGCCTGTCGACAACCTAAATGTGAAGTTGGGGAAGGGCAACGCAAAATACCTCAGGAAGCAGACGCAAGCCTTTTCAACAACTTCTCATGTACCACGAGCTGCGGGATGTGCTCCAAGATAAGGTCCGCCGTTTCTTCGGTGATGCTCCCCGGACGCATGTACCATCTGGTAACCACCTTCTCCAACCTCGGAAGGGTCTGGGTCAGACGTCGACAGGCCGACTCTACAAGCGCAGCTTCAGTCTCCCTGTAAATCGCTGCGCGCCCCTGATCTAGATCGCTGAGGTCAAAGACGACCTCCAACGTCTTCAACGACTTGAAGCTCGCCAGCCAGTTCAACGCCCTCTCACCCCGCGTGCGCCCCTTGATCAGAGCGAATGTATACATGTGAAATTCTACAGATTTTCGGCACAACACGAGACACGCGTGCTGGAGGTGTGCTCTCAGGAGCCCTGATTGTTCGATGAGGATCCTTGAGGCGCAGGAGTCGCGCCTTTCTTTGACAGTAGAAGGCAAGTTGGTGGATGTGTAGGCTAGGGTGCGAGAGAAAAACTCGGAACTCGGCGTAAACCTGGTTTTGCATCCTGTAGCAGATGGTGGCCATGGACTTAATTGTCGATAGTTGTTCCTGCACCTGGAAAGAGTGTGGACCGCCGCATACAGAGGCCCTGATGTCGCGTTGGGGATTTTGGCCTCGCCGAATTGGAGCGAACGTCCAGGCATGTCGGTAGATCTCGAGCTGAATCTCTGCTGGCAGCGCGCGAAGCCGGAACACTTGGATGGTAGGTTGGGCGGACATAACTGTGTTGGTAGTCGAGCTGCTCTTTGCACGCTCGTCACCCATCGTGGAGTGAGCGTTGAGAACTCGCAGGAGGCAAATGGCTGAGTGTTCCAGGATGAAAATTCCCGGGAGAAAAAACTGAGAAAAGTATTTTATAGGGTTGGAATGAAAAGGCCAAAATGCAAACCAAACGTAAGTGAAGGGAAATATGGGTCGTGAGTGAATGTGAATATCTAGTAGGACCCTTCACTCCGCAAGAGTCGGGACGAAAACATACCATGAACTGCCACCTACCAACGAAACCTTGGCCCGCTGCATGGATTGCTAGATTGAGCATTTAACCTTGGATGTATCCAGAATATTCGTCAGGTTCGGAGAGCCCAGGTTTCAACATATCTGCCCTTCAAGAACCGCAGTGTATATAGGATCCCAGTAACAGCCCGGCGTTTGCTTAATGGTGGACAATCTACTCAATTGTCGGCTCTGCTCTGTTGCATTGATGACATCATGTGGATGGGTGCTAATCAAACCCTTCAAAGCAAGGATGTCGTGAATTAATGCCCAAGGGCACACTATATGTGGAAGCGGGTCGTGTTGTTGATGGGGGAGGAGAAGTGGGTTTAGATCTTGTAGGAACACGGCCAGTCGTGATATGTGACGCCGATATGTTTATTGAATTTGAAGCAGCGCTTCTCGGGGCTCTGTGTGTTGTTTAATATTCCGGTCAGCGACCATTCACATTGAATTCTAGTCGGGGTGGTACATAAAGAACGGGAGGAGAACAACGTACCTCGGACACAGCAACGTTCTCTAAGAACACGTCTCTAAGTTCCTGGAACCATGGGACATCATCCCATGAAATTGCTTCTTTCTGTGGCTGGCTATGAGACCACTTGAGCCTTAACACCAGCTTCTCTAAGCGCGGCAGACTCTGAAGTCCAAGTTTTGCCGCCTCGAGGCCCGGGTGACCCTTCCACCACCAAGTTTTATTTCTCCATCCCGTGTATTGCTGCTGTTCGAACACCACCTCCAGCGTCGTCAACTTCTTCAGGCCCATTAACCATTTCAACCTGTGATCTTCCAAGCCCTCGTCGAACTTAACATGCACATCATTTATCACGAGACATGCATGCCGGGCATGTTCCGAAAGAAAGATCGACCCTTCTATAACCGGTCGCACGTTGTGGTTCATGGCATTTAAGCCCGTGTCGATGCTGTTATGTTGAAATGAGATGATGTTGAATTGTGACACTGCCTGAGTACGCGAAAAATACTCGTCGTAAACGACATGCCTCATGTGGCGGCAGGTAGCGCCCATGGCACAAACTGTCGAGAGCTCCTCTTGGATTTTATCGCTCAGTTCAATCTGTATCAAATCGTTCGATTTCTTGGTACGGCGAACGAAGTACAAGAGATCATCGGTGAGAAACGTGTAGGGGTGCTCTTCTACTGGTCCAGTCGTCCACGCAAAGCGGTAGATTATGAGCTGGATCTCCACCGGCAGAAAGAACAGTGGAAACGGCTCGGTGTATGGGGCGGGAGTGGTACTATCGTCAGGCGTGGTAGGGGCAGGGTAGCAAAGCGAGTCCCAGGTGCGCTTCGGTTTACCGCGCATCTGACTGACAAAAACCATGACGTGGAGTATGAAGTGGTAAACTCTTCACGACGTTGAAAGGCGACGGTGGGGTACTGCGTATAAATCATTGAGAGGCTTATTCGTTGAAGGGGTGGCAGAGTATGCCAAAATAACGGATTTACCGACCTGTCCAAATGGCAAGGTGGGCTAAGTAGGAAGAAAGTTTGTGTCCGGCTCACCACTGTAACTTCGCCGTGTTTTGCGAAGTTGTCAAAGTTGTTTTCTGGTCTGGAGGAATCAACGAAGAGAGTTTGTTCGCAAAGGGGAGGGCCGGAGTGCGGCGATGGAGCTATATAGGAGTTTGTGCACCTCCAAGTCAGCGGGGCTTTGCAGACGCATACGCAGTGCAATGGAAGATGCCTGTCTACCTTGCATACGCGACATTAACCAACAGCGTGCATGGCAGTGCCTAGATGTACCGTAGGTCCCGTCAAGTGGAACCTGGTTCATGTTTCTGAGTTGAGTCAAAAAGGCGGGTTGAGGGGACAAACAAAGAAAGGAAGATGAGAGTAGACGATGCGGTATTTTCTCTATAGACTGCCAGTCTTTGAATGTTGCCTTCTGGCGACAGCGGTGTTTGGAAATCACCGGTGATGCAAGGAAACGCTGCATGGATATGGGAGAAAAAAACGAGATGAGCCGACGGAATTTCGGTTTCCTGATGGTGTCAAGATTTGGGGAGAAGTTATGAGTGCCTACAATAATGAGAGGTAGCCAAAAGACGGCTGCCAGAAGTCCAGAGACGTGGAGTAGGTAGGTACGATGGGAATGTCCTGCACGAAACCAGACAGGAACCCTCCACTTCCTCTTTCCTCCACAACTTGCCAAGCAACCCGAAAATCTGCACCCATCACCCACTCTCAGGACACTCCTTCCGTAGAGGTAGGTAGACAGAAAAATGAAATTAGGTCATGAAAGTCCATGATGCTGCTACGATGTGTGAGTGATGCTGGTTCTGGGGAGGTCATTCAGTAGGTAGTCTTGGGCCACCTCCCATATTTCCGTCGTCGCTTAGAAAGCGCTTTCTTTGACTCAACGGGATTTCACATTTCTTCCCCCTTTCCTCCCCATTTATGCGTGCCTGTGCGGTGTCCGTTCTCCATTCCTCGTTTGAACTTCCGTGCAAGCTTCCAATATTTAGGTATGTGACATACGGGAAGGACAACTAGTATCGGAACGTCAGCATACTCGGCTTGTTTTCGGATGCGATAGCCTCCTACCGTTGGTCAGGTTCCACGTCGCCTCTTTCTTTGACCTGTGGCTTTGAGGAAGAGCAGAGAGACATCAAGATCGGGCATAATTTAGATACTCAAGAGAGTGGATAATTTGCGACTGTCTTTTATTCACGGCCCGCGTTCATGTTGTGGTTCTAGGCTTGGGTCAGGAACTGTTGAGGACGGGGAAAACCCCCAGTCCTTCCGAGCAAGCCTTCCCCCTTGGAAGTTCACTTTTCCTCCTCAACTTTTTCTTCAGTACCTGATGTTAGCGGCAGTACATTGTTTGCACATCGTAAGATACTCATTCAACGTAGGTAATCCCACTTCCAGGTCTTTCTTGACCTCAAAATCACCGAAACTCGAACGGCAGTCTGATGTATCGCGTACGCTGTAGCCATGAAACATAATGAATTGGTCCCGAAATGCATGAACTTGCAGTATAAAACTACCTAGTTTCAAACCAAAGGGCTCCAACGCTACTGATATCTTTAAAAACTCTAGGGCGATGCTCAATACGCTGGGTCTGTATTTTTGTGTTCTAAACCACCACTTGCCAATTTCTGTCCTTATCCCACCGGAAGCAAAAGCTCTTCCCCTCAAAGCATCACAAGGGTAGGCAAAGCGCGCTATTGGCATCTGCGAGTACCTCAGGTACCTCAGCAAGCCCTTCCACATCCTTGTTAAAGTGTTGGCCACTCGGTGCTTCCCCAGACGCCGTCAATTTTCGAGTCACCCTATTCCAGTCTAACCGTAATCTTCTCCAGTCCCAAGTCGGGGAACCCCCCGTCCCAAAGCGTGGCCATTTTGATACCTGTCAACGAGTCCCAAAAAAAAAGGGAACCAGTCAACTCGTGAGAACGAAATGCGCGATTCTCCGAAGAAGCCTGTCTGTGTGAAAATGCAGCAACAATAACTGTCGGCCCTGAACAGGCTATTTAGCCCTTCTGCATCGGCCTGAGCGCGGCCTGAGCGCAGCCTGAGCGTGGCCTGAGCGCGGACTGACTTTCTTGGAGGCAACGAGATTCCCAACCATCCGGTCGAGAGCAGAGTCGTCGTCGAGCAGGAATGGTCGTGATCCAGGTTGGAGGAGAAATCGGTATCGGAACTGTGCGCTAAAGTCTGTCAAAAACCAGATGTCAGTGGAGCTGTCTAACACAGTGTGAAAGAGGACAAGGGACACTCACTTGGGTGCAGGGCGATCTGACCATGCTATGACTAGATCCCGGTGGACCTTGTCTTCATCCAACGAGGGTTGAGGCACCCCAGATGCTCCTTGATTGGCTGACAGGGGGGTTTGACGTCCTAGATAAGCGGTTAAATTCTATGGTAGACTACTTCAGTCATAGGAACTTGTTGGGAAGGAGCAAGGCTAAAAAAAAAAATTGAAGTAAGAACCAGCAAAAAATAAAATACCTCGGGCAGTGATGCAAGACTATCGATCTCTCTTTTAGTTTGAGGGAATATTCGTCGACGTTCAACTCCACAATTTGACGTTCTGCTTTGCCCTGCGAAAAGCCGGCGAAGTCATATTTGATCGTCGTTTTTTCCAGTCCGCGGAGATTCCGTAAGATCAACCGTGATTGTGGCCTAGTTGACATGTAATACTCAAAGCCATGTGCAAGTGGGGTTGAGATGACCTCAAGCATTTTGAGCTGCTTAAGAAATTGAAGCCAGTACAATGCTTCCATGAACGAAACTGCAAATTTGTCGAATTTCAGCTCGGTTGTCCAGTAGACACTCACATGTCTGAGGTGAGCCAGGAGTAAGGCGGAGCCTAACATTTTCTCCAGTTAATATTTATTGATACCCAACCTGGAACCACTACCGCAAAAATCCCAGCGCAGGTAGGCTTGAGCGTGGTGAAAGTATTCGTCAAAGGCTTCCATCCTCATTTGCTGGCAGATGGCGCCCAGTCCCGCAATTGCTAAGAGTTGGTGAGACAGGTAGGAAGTGCTCAGTTGACCAGTGCGACTGATTGTGTGAAGCTTGGGATTAACCTTCCAGACGTAGCGGTATATCATGAGCCTGAGCTCGAGTGGGAGACGGAACAGCAGAGGCCCGGAAGCTTGAGGGGAGGAAGGCATGGTGATGGATATCTCAGAGGTTAACGTTGGGCGAGTAGACATGCGGGAATTTGCTGCGCAGGGCTGTTAGCGTATCGGTTGCACTAACTGACTTTGGGAATCATTACCATGTATCAAGCTTTGCGTAGCGCCCATAACCTGGATGTCCTGGAGTGATGCCATGAGAGAGGATGATGGCGACGATGATTAGTGGCTCCTATATCAGTTGGCGTATTTGATAGAGTAGTGAAAATAAAAAGCTCTAGAGATTTTGAGTTGGAGAAGAAGAGGCGGCAAGTCGGAGAGGCACAAAAGAAGTATATGGGGGGGACGGAAAACTTCAGATGAAAGGAAGACGCCCCACACGCAAAATAGAAGCAGCAAGTAGAGGTATCAGATGAAGTATCGCGCGTTTTAAACACTAGCAGAAATGGGTCCACAACCAGGTGTAGACGTTCTCTCAACCTCGAGGTTGTTATCATCTGACCATGGACTGTCTCCATTAGAAGGAGAAAACTGCCTCAGCAAACACATATTGGGGACGAAAAACCGAGGTGCTGGACAAGAAAACGTCAGCTATCAGACCGGCGGAGAAAATACGCTGCTCAGAAAAAGACCCAAGAAGAATTACCGAGAAGCGAGAACACGCTTGCAGTTTATCCACGTAGAACATAAGTCTGTTGCATACTTGCCTTCAAAAAGCCCTTCCGTCGTACCTGATGGCGACCCTCTCAAGTCTGCTCAAATTCTTCAACATCATACGTGACCAATTGGTAAGGTCTGGAAAATAACCATGCCACTCAACGAAATTGACAGGTCCCAGCCCTGAGAAAACGAATTCAACCGTCCTGAGCTCTTTGAGACCTTGTAGCCAAAGCAACACCTCGGTGGGCGAAACTAGGTTTACTTCTGCTTTTCCGACGCGGATCTCTCTGCTACCAGCCAGATCTCTCCAGGACCAGTCCAGAACCCGAGTGTCGGTCCAGTTGAAAGCTCATATATCTCACGTGAGACCGGACGGAGCAAGAGCGAAGTTCACAATCATCTCCTTGTCACGAGTGTGACTGCCACTGGCACTTCTTGAGACTTTAAGTTGAATCAATCCTAGCGAGAATAGACTTGGGCTTGCTTGAAGTTTTTCCTCCAAAGCCTCGTGTCTTATCAGGCGGCAGATGGCGCCTAATTTCCAGATCGCCCTAATATGCCCTCTTTAAGCCGAGAAGCTTCCTAAACACCACGATAGACCACGAGCCTGATCTCCGCCCGCGGAAAGAGCGAGAGCAGCCGAGAGTAGGAGGACTCTCGGACCGGCGTTTCCTTGCATCGAGGCCTGCTTGTTCTTGTACTTCTGTAGCCTCTCGTGGACGGGCCGAGGAAAGGTCTTGCATCGTATCGGTGATGTCGATGACATGGCGCTGCGATGGCTTAAAGACTCTCCTTGGGTGCAAAGAAGACAATGGGCTGAGTAAGATATCGTAATCGGGCGTTTTGTAAGGGGAAAAATATCCGTGGAAGATAACTGGTTAAAACAACAAACAGGCCAGCGAACAAGTTTGTCAAAGATGCCCGACAGGCTGAGTTTGACATGATAGATACCTGGAATAGCGACTCAACGGAGCGGAGGTGCTGCTATACCTACTGTCATTACCTTGGTCTGATGCCTCGGTCGCTGAGAGAAAGACCCCGCCATGTCCATCCTTTAGATACGTTGTGAAGTTGGAGTTTTCGGTTCGAGCTGGGGAATGAAGAAGTAACAGAAGAAAATGATAGAGGTTCAGGCGGCGGCTTGCCTCCCGTCGCGGTCCATGTCAAGAATGTGATTGAGGATGTCCGCAAGTAAGGCAGAAGCCTGAGGAGAGCTTGTTGAAATGTCGGTAATGGAAAAACTCTGTGTCCATGCCCTGAAGATTGACAGACGCAAAAGCCACCGTGACGGGATCCACACGAAAGGAAAGGAAATGAAAGGGCATTGGAGATGTCGAAGGGTTGTTGCTGTGATCAAGGGAAGTCAACTGCGGTGGTGGCACTTGCCATTGCTCAATACATGAGGTATCAATCAGGGCAGGTATGAAAGGGGAAGAATTGAAGGGGCATGGAAGGCAGGAACAGCTGACGGGGCATGCCGCAATGTTCCGAATACTTAACACTTTCCTTATCGGCAAGGGCAAGCAAGTCCATCGATCCGAATAGACTCAATCGTGACGCAATCCTTCCTCCTACAACCTCAAGTTTTCCCTGTATTTCTTCTTTGTTCCCGCTTCTGTACCGTGTATTCCTTGTCATATTTCTGCCACCAGTTTTAACAAGACAACGACGACGGCCAGGACTTCAAAGCAGAAAACGCGGGGAAATAAAGAGGCCATCCAGGGGGGTAAGCAGGTCGAATGTGCCTTCCTTCTCTCAATCCATCCTTTATGCCCAAACTCCATACCTATCATACAACATCAAACACAGAGCGCTTTCTTGCAGCCTGCCGCTTTTCTATCAAACATTTTGAACGGTGGGAGTACTCTAACATCTATCCAGACAATGAATGAGAAGAAAAGAACCAAGAAATAAAACATGAACGCGTCACTCACGCTGCTTAACGACGAATTCTTTATATGTACACTACTTTGCAAAAGAATGATATCAAACACCAGTACCAACACTCAATCAAGCAGCACCAGCTTCACCAGCTTCACCAGCTTCACCATTGCTCCCAGTTGAGGCAGCAATTGCATCATCACGCCTCCAAACCCTCCCATGCAACCCATCCAACACGTCATCAAACTCCTCCCTCTGCTTCTTCTTCATAGCCTCTGACACATCCTCCAGTAAGTGTTCCTCTTCAGGCACCTCGCCACCTCCTCCTGCAATCTGTTGTCCTTGTGCCTGGTATCCTTGATATCCGTGGTGTCCCTGCTGCTGCACCCTCCCAGTGCTCCTGATAATCCTCCAAGCCCTCCTGAACTCATCCCGAATGGCGACGATGCCGCTGTGCGTAACCGTGCGGGCGACGTTGTGGTCGAGCTCGAAGGGGTCTTCGATGGCGAAAAGGTAGCGGTAGCGGACTTCTTTGAGCTCTACTTCTGCCTTGGGTTGTTGCTCGGTCGTAGGAGCGGGAGGGGCGGGTGGAGGTGCTGGCCCAGTCATTTGAGGCTGGGCTGGGAAGCCTGGTGGAGGGGCAAGGCCGGGAGGGGCAAGGCCGGGGGGAGGGCAAGGCCTGGGGGAGGGGCAAGGCCTGGGGAGGGGCAAGGCCTGGGGGAGGGGCAAGGCCTGGGGGAGGACCCATAGCAGAAAGGTCAGCGGCAGGAGGAGGTGACATACCAGGAGCGCCAGCGCTAGGAATAACTGGCTGCTGTACCGGTGGCTGTTGACCAGACGGTACACCAGGCGTCGACTCCATCACCGTCTTAGCGCCCGTCCACCCCTTTTCCTGCTTACTCAAGATACCTCCCTGCGTGCGGAGACTGATGACATCCCTTCCCCAATCAAAGCCTCTACCGGGTAACGTAGACAACGAACCGTTTTGAGCGTAGTACTCGAAGAACCCGCGAAGAAGATGGCCGATGGAGTCTCGGTTTTGGTTAATCATGCCCATAGACGCAAGACGCTGGATCTCCTGGTCATCGCGCCAGAAATGCACGTTCCTTCCCTTGCAAAAGGCTACGTCTTCGAGCTGCTCAGGTTTGAGATTAGGTGGGAGAGGCGGGGCGAGTTGTTGCAGGTTTGGACAGACGAAGGGCTTGACGACGTTGATCAGGTAGTGTAGTACCATCATAACATAGCCGTAGCTGCTGAGGGTGCCGCGGTAGGGGGAATTGATGCCGCGGACTTTGGCCCAGTGCTTGACGAAGAGGACCATGGGCCGGACGCGCGGGTCGCAGGAAGAGTAGCAGCGCAGAAGGTGGGTGTTGTGCATGGCGAGATGGGCGGCGAAGTTGATGTCGCATTGGATGCCCACGCCAGACTTGGGGAACTCGAAACGGTCACGGTAGGGATCGCGGGGTTGGTTGGGGCCCATGACTGATGGGTCGCCGATGGAACGGACGTCCGAAATGGTTTCGATGAGATCTGGGGACAGAGGAGTCTCGAAGCCGAAGTCGAAGGGCTCAACCGAGGACCTCACGATAGGCCCCCGGAGGAAAGCGATGTAGGAGCTCGAGTTTGTCTTCCGTCTCCTTGGGGTAGAATTTCTTCCCGAGACATGCCTCCAGGTCATGGGCAAGCTGATAACTCAGGTGTCGCTTTCCGATGGCGTGGAGATCGGAATATCCGGAACTGTCCGCGAATTCCTTGACTGCTTCCCGTATGGCCTCGCTCCTGATACCTTGGATGTATTTCTGGGAGATGAGGGCGCCCGCCTCTGTCCAATCATCAGCCGTGCCATCCCCGACCAAGTCAACGAGCAACTTCTCCGCCCTGGCGCAATACTGCGCCGTTGACTCGTACTGCCCCTGCGACAACAACATTGCCTGGATAGAAGGGAGCATCCGCAGTTGATCAGCCGCCCGCTTCAGGTCCCTGTCGTATTGCAAAGGATCGGCGCCGTAGTTGGGATGGTCTTGCAGGATCTTCCATCTGTCCACGCACGTCTGGCCCCGCGCTTCCTTGTCCGAATCCTTTTCTTTGATCTGGCGAGACTCCCACACCATGACCATCTGCTCGCCCTCGACCTGCGTGTACACGCCCTGGAGGGTACGGGGCTGGTCGGCTCGATACTCGAGGTCGTAGCGATCCAGGGACTTGTAGTTGAACAGACGGTCGCGCAGCTGGCGGTCCTCGAGCCCCTCTACGAATGTGAGGCAGACTTCGTTTAGCTTTTGGAAGTCGGCCGGGGAGAAGTTGTTGATCGTTGAGCTGGTTAGATCCCGTCCGCCAACACTCCTCAGATAACCTTTTGTGGTTCCGTAATAGGCGTTGAGGGTTTGGTTGGCGTGTTGATAGTGCTTATGGCCTTTCTTGTCGGTGCTCTGGCCGTCTTCTTGGCCGTCTTCGCCATGGTGCTCTTTCTTTTGTTGATCTTGTGCATGGTTTCCTTGCGTTTGCTGAGCTCTCTGCTTCTTCTTATCCGTTGCAGACGCATGACCGCTTGCCAGTTCATCAGCCTCATGGCCGACATCTTCGGCTACATTTTGATCCAGTTCGTCGTTTTCCTCTTCGTCACCGTTATCTGACATACCCTTCTCCTGCTTCAGGTGCTCCTCTACCAAATCGTCATACAAGCTCTTTGGCGGCTTCTCACAAACTTTGATAATGGGCACCCTGGTCTTTGAAAGCAAGCGAGCGGCAAGTCCGACTTGGAGAAACGCCTTTTCGATCAGTCGAGGAATCGGAGAGCCTGGTGCATCTGGCTGCAGCTTTGAGAGAGGAGACAAGAGACCCAGGTCCATATCTGCAGCCTTGGTAGCAAAACCAGAGGCAAGACTGCCGAAGCACCGAAGCTGGACACTTTGTGGAGGGAAGTCGTAGAAGCCGTTCTCTGATTGTTCGTACTGGGTGATGACAGCCTGGGCAAGTTTCTCAATGTTTTGGCGAAAGGTCTCGTTCTTAACAATATCGTCATATTCGATCTGGGCGTTTGCGATAATGGTCGCACATAGACCCTCGAGCAACTCTGTTTGCGCCTTGAGCTGTTCCGGCCGGACCTGGGGTTGTCTGCCGGGGTTCCAAAGCGCTCCTCCTCTGGGGTTTCTAGGTGCTGGACCATCAAAGGATCCTTGGGAATTGTGGTATGCCGTGCTATGGTTGGGACCAGAATTTAGAGGCTGTCGCCAGGTGTTACGGTCCAAGTGCTGGGGCCCTGGGCCATGGTAAGAGCGAGAAGGGTGATGCCTGGGTTGGGGGTGTCCCTGAGGCTGTACTGGAACTTGGTTACCCGTATGAGGCGGGTTTGGCTGGTGAGCTCTAGGGCCGGTCTGCTGGTGGTGATAACCTGCTGGTTGTGGTCCTGTCTGGGGTCTTTGATTCCTGTATCGGCCTCCATTTCCATACGGTCCAGGCTGACGGCCAGCTTGGTGTTCAACTTGGTGTCCAAATTGTGGTCCAGGTTGATGCCCGGCCGGAGGTCCTGGTTGAGGCGCAAACCCTCTAGGAATCTGATGTGGACCGGCAGGCTCAGCTGGTTGAGTACGAGGATCAATAGCGATGTTTAGCTGAGCTGACATCTGACGACGTTGGGCCTGGTTGAGACGTTTACGGGTTTGTGGCGGGGATGAACCAGTCGGGGCGTTTTCCACTTGGGGTACTGGGTCGTTGGAGTTGGTGAGGATCAAATTCCTGAGGTGATCCTCAAGACCTGGTCCCCGACCTCCCTGTCCTAGCTCCATTGCGGTGGTGTTGACCTGAAAAACACGACGACCCCCGAGCTTCCTTTTAAGTATGACCAGACGATTAGGATGCAGGGACATGCATCAAGGAAGAGCACCGGGGTATTGTTGATGGTGTGATGAAGTGAAGAAGCTGACTGAGAGAAACCGGCCGTGATGGTGGAGATGCCCTGCCACTTGAGGTTGTGAAGAGTGGTCAGCGGAACTATCGTATATTTACCAATTGGCCTGGGACAATTCCTGGGAGAGTGACGAAAAAGGAGGCACGAGTTGAAAAGCAACCTAACACGTCTCGTCTTGACTCTTTCTGAAATTCCACTTCAGGCTTTAGGGCAGTGGCATGGAGTATGGAGTGACAAAAGGTACCTTACAGAATGTACCGCAGCTCTGGGATGGGGCCGTGTGGAGGCGACGATGTAGCCCTGCTGCCCTGGAATTGGACTTGATTCCTGAAATTGAGATATTGAAAATGGTGTTGCTGAATCTTGTACGGTCGCGTCATACTATTAACTTGTGTTTGCTTGAGGATACCAGCCTTGTCGTCCACAAACAGATTGTTCAGCCTGTGACACCTGACGGCAGCAAGCAACGGGCAGGAACAGCACCCAATCTTTGGCATATGCGACTAATAAAACCTGGAATGAAGTGCTAAACAATTAGGTCACAAACAAGCTACGTAAGGTGTGGAGAAGGTGGGCAGGGGCCTTGACGCTTCCGTTTACCTTATTGGTGCCGTCCTGGGTCAATTCAGCCTTCGATTGGCTGAGATGACTTCAGATCCACTCTTTCACCTTTGTCTTGTAGCTGGAAGGTTAAATACATTAAAAAGAGTGCGCTCATTGGCTCAAATGCCCAAAAGCAATGCAGCTTCTTCTTCAACTCTTGTCCTCCCCAAGCCGCAATCAAATAATTTGCCCATCATTCGAACCGATCCGTCTCACACAGCAGGGCAGCTCTTTCAGTGCCACCTCTAGCGCGACTGCCTGTAGCAATTGGACTTGGACTTCCCGCGACTTCGAACTTCAACTACGTCTACGATTTCCCAAGGAACCACCATCCTCTTTCCTCACGCCAACTTCCCCCTCAACCTGTGAATAACGACATACCTTTTAGCACCACCTTATCTCGACGGCGATTATCGACTTTTCCGTATTGTCTTCCTCTTGAGTGACAGCGCGCCAATCGCGACAACTGCCGATCAAAAGCCAGGTCAACCTAGATTTGCATGACGTACGACCAAGTCTAAATAACCAGACCATCACGCTCAGTTCTTGCCCAGCCCAGACGACTCCTCGCTCTCCGAATCGAACATCCTACGAACTACGAAAGAATATCTCATCAATCCGTCAACATGAGCGCCCCTCCAGCCGGCGCCCCTCCTACTGGCGCTGCTCCCAACGGGCAACAGCCGCCCAAGAAAATCATTAGGAAAAAGGCCATGGCCGACCCCCTCGTGGCCAGAAAGAAGACCCTTCCGAAACCTCAAATGGCACGTCGACCTGCCGACTGGGAGGCTAGATCTCGCGCTTCTGAAAACGCCGGCCAAAACAGGTCTCTTCGCCAGCTCGAAATGAAGGCTATGGACCACAAGAGGAAGAGATCCATGAATCCGGGGAATTGGAGTGAACAGGCACAGGGCTACGTCGAAGAGTTCCCCTTGGTCGTGTCGAAAAAGGAGCTCATGGAGTTGCGATTCCACGTCATGCAGCTCAACAATAAACACGGCAACCTGGACGTAACCGACCAGGACCAGTTTCCCCGCCCCGTCACCCTGCAACGCCGGGACCCCCGTCTGCCGCCCGCCCACCGCATGGCGCTCAAGGAGGAGATGGAGGATGTGCCCATGGACGATACAGAGGCTGAGCGTATTCGCCAGGAGAAGGAGGCCAAGGAAGCCCAGCGTGCACTGGACCAGGCCAAGATCGCTCCCGTCATGAAGCCGAACGAGCCCAACAAGCCTCAGAAGAAGGACAAATCCATGAAGACGCACGTTTTCCACGGAAAGCACTCCGAGGAGCACAAGAAAGCGTTGGATCTACGATACCAGGAAACACTCCCATGGCACCTCGAAGATGCCGAGGGCAAGTCGGGCGTCTGGGTTGGACACTACGTCGCCGGTCTGTCCGAAGTCAACTGTGCCCTCATTCAGAGACAAGACAAGAAGATCCAGATGATTCCCTTGACCCGTTGGTATGCCTTTCACGAGAAGCCAAAGTTCAACGTTTTGTCACTGGACGACGCCGAGAACATGATGAAGCAGAACAAGGACGTCAAGCGCTGGGTCATGCGCGACAGGGAGAGGGAGCTGACTCAAAAGGAGAAGGCCGATACCAGAATGTTCCTTGGTGGACGTGCGCGTGTCAAGACGGAGAGCTATACGTCGAGAACTGCTCCCAAATCCGAGAGACGGGACGATTACGAGCTCGACATTTCGGGCGACGAGTTCCAGGACGACGATGAGACACCTGGTTTCGAGGCAGACGATGAGGAGGCCAAGGAGGCCAAGGAGCGTATTCGTCGCGAGCAAGCTGCGGCCAACCTGTTTGGCGAGGGTGATCAGAGCAAGGTCGACGCGGAAGAAAGGGAGCGCGAGATGGAGAGGCTCAGGCTGAAGAAGACGGGCAAGGAGGTCGTCAAGCGTTTGGTCAAGTTGGAGCATGCCATGGACTACGATGCAGGGACAGACTCCGAGAGGGAGTCGGACAACCCCTTTGCCGATTCGGACGAATCTGAAGATGAGAACGAGGAGAAGAAGGAAGGCGAGGAGGTCAAGGAAGAGGACAAGAAGGATGGCGCTTCGGGTACCAACAGCAAGGGTACTGCGACGCCAACGGGCAAGCAAAAGGCCCCCGATTCCGCAAAGAAGAACAAGTTGAAGCGTGCTGGCTCGCCCAACTTGTCAGAATCTAGTGAAGCGGAATCGAACCGGAAGAAGGCCAAGCTTTCCGCCACCAAGGGCACGGCGTCCATGGGCCAGAGCCGATCGAATACTCCCCTGCCTGGTCGTCCTAAGGGTGCTACCAGTGATGGTGAGATGTCTGACGGGGGCGCCAAGAGCAACAGGCCTCCGATGAAGCAGACGACGCTTGGTGGCATAGTGCCCAATTCTAGGCCCGGTAGCCCTCTTCAGCCAGGTAAGAGACGCCCTTTATCGTTGATTCCGTTTCATCTTTTATATCGACGTTTTACGTTTGTGACATGGCCTTGAATTTGCTTGCTTTTGGAATTTCTTGGTGCTTTCGCCATAGGGGTTCTAACTTGAGTCGCCAATACTCTCCTGTTTTCTTTTTCGCTATCTCCATGGCTGCAATATGCTCTGATCCTTCGAGACTTCCACTGTTGTAGTACACAGGCATCTCCCATACTATTTCACAGCAATTATTTCTTACCACGCCCTTGCCCTCCAACATCCTGTCTTAACCCCCAACCCACCACAGTCTACCTCAACATCTCACTAACATGATCACCCCACCAGGCTCTCCCAGCGGCTCCCCGCCACCCATCTCGGGCGGCGCCGCCCCGGCCAACGACTTCATCAAGCCCGAAGAGGTCATGGCGGCTATCGACCAGTACCCCAACGGCGTCGCCCTTGCCGTGCTTATGAAGCCCTTTAGCCACCGCATCGACGCGACGCCCAACCGCTCCAAGCCCCATCTATCCACCAAGTCAGAATGGCTCGGTATGGTTAAGCGCTTTGGCTACTTGGGTCCCGATAAGCTTATCAGGCGTAAGACGGGGGCCGCTCAAGGTGGAGGAAGCGGTGCTGCTAGTCCCCAGCCGTAATGTGGTGATCGCGTGTCCCTGGCTGCTGATGGGAAGGTGTCGGCGGTGATTCGAGATGGGACTTGAAATGATAGACCGGCTGAGCAAGCAGGAGGATGTGGTTATCTTAGCCCCCTTCGGAGACAAGCGACACAAGTGAGGTGGTGTGCCATCCAAGGAGAGGCTTAGGAAGGAAGGTCGCATGTGGGATGGAAGGAGAGAAACGAAAATGAAATAACGTACACGGACACTTTTATGGGTATAGCTCCTTCACAGTATCACTATTTCTTGGAACTCAGGACTTGGGCGGAACATAGTTGGGGATGTCTACCAAGGTCAACGCAGGTCGAGTCGATTAAACATATATAATAGACCTCACTGAAACGAAATCAGGATGTGCCATTTGATGTAAATGTGTGTCCACTCTACTTCCCACATACATGAACCCCGTGGCTGATTGCCCATAATACCCAAGGGCAGGCGGTTCCATCACAGGCAGCTAGCTTCTTGAGCGACAACCTTTGGTCTTGCACTTCCAGTGACGAAACTTCATACTTTGTTCCATCTAGGTAGTGTAAGTACTTATATCATCCAAGCCCTCACCTAAGCATAACCCATCGACGCCAAACACCTAACAAAAAAAAACCCACAGGCACTCTAACAATTTTTTAACCGTTCCTTAACCAATAACCACCACGCCAATCCTGCAGACAGACAGACAGTAACCTACTCCTACTCGTCCATCTGCCAAGCATACTCCAACCCTTTATTCCTCTCCCGTCTATTAATCGCCCTAAACCTCTCGCCCTCAAACCCATTACTCCTATCCACCCCATCCCAGCGATACCCGGGTTTGATGCCATACCGATTCGGTGGTGCCGGCCCTTTATATGTCGGCCTTTTTCCCAGTCCCCTTCCCCCCTTCCCTTTGTTTTTGCTAGTCTTGACCTCCTCCGGAGCCAAAAACTGCGCCATGGGATCATTCCACCTCTCCTGCTCTTTCAGCTCCGCATTAAGTGCCTCATCATCTTTCCCCCTTGCCAACGGCATGAGCTTGGCTTCTTCTAGCTCTTCGCGTCGTCGACGCGCTTGCTCGAGTTGGACTTCGCCTTTCAAAGCACGTATCTTTTCGGCTTCCTTTCGTTCCTGCTCGGCTTGTGCGCGGCGGGCTTCAGCGCGGCGCATAGATGCGTCTATCCTCCGTCCCGTAGCGTCACGTAACACGAGCTCTTCTTTTTCCTCGGTTTGTTGTTCCCTCTCTGCCCTGATCCTCTCCAGTTCAAGTCGTTCAGCTTCCTGCCTAGCTCGTAACTGCGCCGTGATGGCGGAGGCAGATTGGAGACCGGCGTGGGTGCCGTTGGACATAATCGGTGCTTGGGCGGCTGTTTCGCTTGGTTGGTGAGACCTGGTAAGGGCAGTGGCGCCCGTGGTGGTGTCGACAACGAGAACTTCATCATCACCACCGGCTTCGCGCGCTAGAGCGGCGGTCTCGGCGGCTGTTTGCGCTAGGATCGCGTCGGCGGCTGCTGCTGCTTCGAGGTCTTCTTTCGTTTTTGCGGGCGTTGGTTTTGGGGCGCTCGGATTGGAGCCGGAGCCAACGGTCTTCCAACCCGAGGTCTTGGCTTTTTTGAAGTCGGCGGAGGATATGCCGGTGGCAATTATGGGGCCGTCGAAGTCATCGTCGTCGGAAGCGTTGGCGCGGCCGGCGGTGGCCCAGGTGTTGTCGTCGTCATCGGCGATTATTAGACCTGATTCTGTGGTGGCAGAGGACTTGTTTTTGCGCTTGCGCTTCTTGGTTGAGGAGGAGGGTTTGTTGGGTGGGTCGGTGGAGAGGTAGTGAGCTGCTAGGTAGGCGGCTTTGTCTGAGGGCATTTTCAATTGTGGTGCTGACGGGTTGTTTTGTTTGGAGGTGTGGTGTTGACTTGTTGATTGTTTTGGAGGCGATGGTGATGCTAGTGGTGTTGATTAGATTGCGGTTGAAGGAATTGCCTGCCGGGTGCCTTGAGGGCAGCTTTGCCATTGGAGGTGGTCAGTGCGTCTTGAGTTTGCTTCATCGTAGGCTGATAAGAACGTGAGCGATAAGATAGGGGAAGACGTCCGGTGACATCACTGATAACACTGGGGATGGTTCCGCTGTCGGCGATGGAGAGAGTCGATTGTGAACGTTTGCATGTGGTGGAAGGTATCACGAAATCAAACTCGGAAAGGTAAAACAGATTCGGATTTGGGATCGGTGTTGTCAAGAGTTCTGTTGATTCATTTAGTGAATTGGAGATATACAAGGGCCCAAGGCCTATTCAAGGCTCATAAGTGTACCATAGGGACTTCGATCACTGCCATCCGTATTATCCATTTATTGAAGCTTTCCATCATCGAAAGTTTGGACGTCGATAGTTCCAACAGTTCAAACTCCAGGAGGTTATCTCATCGTCAGGTGTCCTTTGTACAGCCCATCGAGTCGCGTCACGCCATCACGTCCCGTACAGGCGACAAAACGCGAGAAACACCTCCCCCCAGCAGCTGAGCAAGTCGATCGAGTTACGGTGAACACGGCGGCATAGCCGAACAATCGCAGCACGCCGTATGAACACCTGCTCTTATGGGATCGCGTCTTTTCTTCATTCCAAGGCGGCTATGGAGATGACGGAGATGGGGTCAGCAGACCACGCCTCGTGGGCCTTGGCATATCCCTGCCTCCATTGACCTTTTATTGGAAGAAGTACACAGTGAGTGAGGTGACTAAGTGAGGCGGCCTGGGAGATGGAAAAAGGGGGTTGGCCAAACTTGGCAATAGGTACCTGTAGTCCTGATTCCGGATAGATGATGGCATCAACAAAACATGGTTGAGATTATGCAACAGGATTGATGAAAGTACCGGTCTCCATTGTTGACACTTGTTCGAACATGATTGCAATTCACTTTCGAGGTTTCATCTCCTGAGGACCACTTGAGAGAATGCCGATATCGCGGTGTGGTCGTGGATGTTAACGTCTTATCAGCTTATCACTCTCCACTGAATGGCAAGCAAGCGCTTGAGTCGCTGACGGTTGCTACCCTGCAGAAGAAACGCATGCGCCCCTGATTGACGAAGCGTCATCTGTCATCCTGTCATCCTCGGCATCCAGCGAGCACCTTGCTGGACAGAGAGGCCGTAGAGGTACTTAGGCCGATAAGCAGTAAGCTTGAGGGACAATGAAGGCCTCTTTGATGGCTCTCTTGTTACCGCGTTCTTCACTCTTCATGTCTAATGGCTTGAGCAGCATTCCAAGAGTTCAAAGCGCTTGAATACTATCAAATCGACAAATCCTGCTCGGCGGACAGGTACAGGTACAGACGTCGCGATGCATCGATCATCGGTACCCCGTGCTGCGCTGCTCTAGCGTCGTTGGCGGGTTCGCTTCCCCCACATCCGGCCGCACCGTATCCGGGGCAAGCCGGGGATAGGACACCAGCCTTTCCCCATTCGATATGCTGTCACCATTCACCATCCATTCATTGCACTGCGATACTCCAGCAAAGATGAATGGCAGGAGATAGCTAGATGCCATTGTTGACATGGAAAGCAGCCATGTGTAACAGCTGTTGAGACCTGAGCGCAACAGCGGTAGAAGGGCTGTCTCTGTTGTTGGGCTAACAAATTAACAAATCCTCAGTGAGTTAGGGAGCCAACAAGGATCCAAAGAACTCAATCCCATCTATCGCAAACGGAACATCCGGTAACCCAGTTCAACGGACACGAGCATCGAACGGACATGGAGGTTCCAGGTAGGCACGAAACAAGTCGCCGTCCCTGAACACAAATCAAAGGCGTAATCGAAACCGTCAATGTCATCATTAATCAAGCGGGTGGCCGGATCTTTAGAGAAGGAAACACGCCAGAAGACGGCAAAGAAGAACAAAAAGGCGTGTATTGAATCTTCAACCTCAGTGGACAGATAGGCAGCTTGGCGGTTGGACACAAAATGGGCAGCTGGTGTGCACTGTGCCTCCGTGCCTCGGCCGCGCCGTGTGCTGGGTTCGTCAAAGGTCTTGGGGATCTTGATACTGTATTGTGCAACCAGGACTCATCGTATCCGTTCCTTGTCCCTGTCTGCCTTTTCTGAAAGATGACGAGAAGTGCCTAGCAGCTGACAAGAAGTCTGGAGGTCTCTTTGGATTCCCCTTCCTGCCACTGTCGTCACTTGGCCTTGTCCCATCTAGGTCATGCACCAGCCAACCTCCAAGACTCCGTCCAGAGGTACCGGGGTACTTCCAGTCTTCCACATGCCGAAAGGGATCCGTCTTGATAAGAAAACGGTCCCTGGGTTTCCATGATGAGCCAAACCGAGCGAAAGGTGACCATCTGGTGTCTCAGCAAGGCATCGATGTCGATTTGGAAGTGACCCGTGTGTTCCTAATACCCCCCATCAGAGATCCAGTTCCAGGCAGTGTTGGTCGTGGCCATGGCTGTTAGCCGGCGATGGATAAAATAAAGGCCCTCCGCTGCGCCCGCTCCCATCATCAGGCCTCTCCCTCTTCTCTGTCCCTGCTTTGCTTGCATCTTGCAAAACTCCAACAATCTAAAAAGAGTCAACACACACACGCACAAACACGGCAACCATCTCTTATCGTTATTGTTGTGGTTGTTATCGTCATCGAATCTCGGTCCACCTGTCACAGCGCGTCATCGCTTATCAGTGGCCGTGTTATTCAACGCCTCACCGTTCCCAACTGGGAAGTCGCTTCTTTGAGTCACTCACCGGCAACAACGTCCTGAACGAGTTGGCTTAGCCTTCTCAATAATCGACTTGCTTCTGCCTCAGTCATTTGCAAGCTTGCACCTGATCCAACCGTGTTGCTTTTAAAAGCATCGCAACAAAGCCGTTCTTTCTTCCTCCCAACTCTCTCTCATTCCCTTTCATCACCCAACAACACCACCATAGGGCCCCTCTAACTGGCTCACAAACCCTTTAACCCCCCCTAACCGAACAACCACCACCGACCACAACGGTCCTCCTCTATCGTCCCCCACCAGTTCGACCATCACAAACTCTCATCTATCCATCTCGCAATCCCTAGGAAACTCTCTCTCTCCGCCGATTACGACTCTATTTCCATAATTGGTACACTACATTTGGCAGATCGACAGGGCCCAAAACTCCAACATTCCCAGTATAGTGCCATCAAGGTTCTTGGCAAAGCCAACTAGTCTGCTACCGACACTGAGGCCAACCACCCCCCCTGCCTGGCAACATCTAGTCACGCACCCACGCCCTTGTCTCCATACCTACACCGCTGTACCTGACCGAACCGTTGGGCGATTACATCACGAATCGAATCGAATCAAAAGGGGACCTGAATCTGGTTCTTGCGTCCCTGGAGCTTTAAGTAAGGTACCTTCTTCGACTTCATCCGGTCAACTTTCCTCAGCAGCAACTAAGCACCAACTCTTCATCACCACCACTTACACCTAATATCATCATCACCAACCCGTCATACATCATGGCTACCTCCCTCGACTCCTCCGTCCAGTATGAGCGTGACCTCCGCAGCTCCCACAAGGAATGGAAGCGCAGCAAGGACTCGTCTACAAAGTGGGCCTCAGGAACCCGCGACCTCCCCGGCGTCAAGAAGGACTGGAACATGGCGGGTGAGTTGCTTACTACGAGCAACGGACACCCTAACCAGATGACCAAGTCGCGACCAGCGAGGAGAGTTCGGGATGCTTGGTAAGCTTTCACCAGATTTCCCACCATGTATGGTACTTCTTACACACAGCGGAAGCTAACACAATCAGGTCCACCAGCGGCTGCGAATACCCCAAACAGTCCTCCCGCAACCTGTACAAGCTCCGCCACCACACCGGCGGCGGGCGTTCCAACAACAACATCGGTTACCACTCCATCAACTTTCCCAAGCTGTTCGCGCACAAGGATATCCGCTATGATGATCGCGAGGATTACTCATCTACAACTCCTTCATCAACACCATCCGTCTCCAAGCACCTCTTCTCCTCAGTAACAACACCAGCAGAGGATAACTTTCTCTACTCGTTCGACCAAGACTCCACACCAGGCTTCAGTCGCACCCCCTTGACTCTGGAAAACTTTGTCAAGACAGACGACCGCAAGACGGAGAAGTTTGTTGAGAAGGAGTACGAGATTCTGGATGCGAATGGTGAAACCCTAAAAGGCCGCAAGGCGAAGAGGAGGGGGTTGAGGGGTGGTGCTGCTGCTTCCGGCGGCTCTGGCGGCTCTGGGAAGGAGGAGGAGGAGGAGGTGGAGGAGGATGAGGGTTTTGAGTTGGTTTGAGCTTGTCTAATTGAAGGCAAAGACAAAAAGCTGGTTTGATCATGTCGACCAGCTTGCTTCGACAAGCCTTCTTTTGACTTTGCTCTTCTCCCCTTTTCGCCTTTTGGCGTCTGCTTTCCCTTCTTTCTTCCCTGGCGTAGCTAATTGGCCGGCGTGTTCTTTTCTTACAACTGTCTTAAACATGGGTGGTAACACCTACACACCACATAACTACACATCATGGCGCATTATCGGGGTTTCGGGACTTGCGGGCGGTTGGACGTACGGATGACTGGACACGGATTGATGGATAGGATGAATGATGGCTTTGGCTCGGATTGCGACGTCATTTGACTTTTGGCTTTTTGACTTCAGGCTTTTGCTCGTTCTTTTGGGCGGATCTCTTTCCTCTCACACTCTGTTCGCTGTTCGCTGGTCCGGTCAGCAACATTAGCAATTACATCGCGACTGAAGTTGAGAGATCCTTCAGTCTTGAACATAAATACCCAAATAACAAATAAACATTAGTGGTAGTAACCTCTTGTCGCGGAAATTGACAGGCGAAGTGAATCTTGTTTATTTCGATTGGTAAAGTTTGCCATTTGCTTATTGCTGGCGGGTATCATACGTCGTTATGTGTGTGTTGTTTGGGGTGTCTGTCATGTGTTTACATGCCATCGATCCGTCATTTGTTTTTGCTTCTGCTTCCTTCTGTTTTTGTTGTTGTCAGTTTCCCGTTTTTGCACAAACTTAAAACTCAAAACAACTTGCCCAAACGTACCTCTACCGCCCTCCTCTTCCTTGCAGCCCAAGGCCCAATCCAACACAGCACCAACAAGGCAATCCTTAAAAAAGAGCTCAGACTAATGGGTATAAGCCGACGTCTCGCTTCAGTTGTCCCTTCCCTTCCCAAGCTGTCCTGACCCGCGCCCTCTCAGAGGCAGTTGGTCGGGAGAACCCATAGAGATAGCCTCCCCATTTCCCACAAGGCCAGGTCTCATCAGAAACTCCTCCCCATCAATAGCTCATAATAAGCCCTCTGCTCTGAATCAAACAGAAAGTCATCATCACCACCACCCCCAGCACCACCACCACCACTACCGTACCCATCATTCCCACCATTCCCACCATTCCTACCACTACCGTACCCACCGCCGCCGTTATTATTGTTGTAGTTATTGTTGTAGCTATTGTTGGCGCTGGCGTTATTAGCGGGCGTCATGGGATCGGGATTCGAGCCCATGCTGTAAAAGTCGGCTATGGTCTCGTCGGGGGCGAAGCCGAGGGGGCGGAGGGTTTGGGATTCTCGGGAGGAGCTTTTATGCAGCTGTTAGTTTTTATCTCTTTGGGAGGTTTTGGGGATTGCAAACCAGGGGGCCAAGAAAGGGGATATGAGACGTACGATTGAGCAGCATCTTTGGCTACGATATCTGAGAGGGTGGAATCGGGTATGGTGAACTTGGATGTGGTGGTGTTGAGCGTGGTCATCGTACTGCTTATGCCGGGGCCATGACGGGTTACTGGCGTTGATGCTGCCGCTGCTGAGGCTGGTATTGTGACTGCTGCTGTCGTTGTGGCTGCTTGTTGTAATAATGGTGGCGGCGGTATCGATAATGATGGCGCTGGTGATTCCGTTGGGGATATCGATTGTCGTCTTATTCCTCCTCCTATCCCCGTCGTGGCCGACTGCTGTTGCTGTTGCTGCTGCTGCTGCTGCTGCTGCTGCTGTTGTAACTGGGCCAAATCCCTGGCTACTTGTCTCCTCTGTTTCGTTTCTCGAGCGAACCTCTTTGCAGGTGGTAGTTGTCCTCCTTGTCCTCCTACTCCTCCCATTACTCCTTGAGCAACAACACTCGGAGACCCAGCCATACCACCCATCTCCTCATCTTCTATCCCTCCATCTTGACTCTCCCCCTGCGTCCCCTCCTGCTCACCATTCCCTTCCCCCGTTCCTATCCCCGGCCTCGCCCCAAAAAAGGCTCTAAAAACTCCACTCCCCTGCCACCTAGCAATCAACCCCTCCTGCGCATTCGCGTCTTTAATACTGGCAATGATCTGCTTCCCCTGGGTGCCCGCCGCTCTCAGATGGCCTTCGATCAGGGCATCTAGTCCCGGGATGGCTCCCAATACGGCACCCCATGCTGCGGCGCTCTCTCTATAGGTGTTGAGAGCGGTGCGGTAACCCTTTTGCGGACCGCGTCGTTTGGTGGGCCGTAAGTAGAGGCAGGGCTTGTTGTGTCTGGTGCAGACGGAACATTTGGGTTGGCCGTTGTCGCAGGGTTGGTGATTTACGTGGCAGAAGTCGCAGCTGGGGGCTGTGTGAGTGAGTGTGGACAGAGAAAAAAGATAAGAGAGCTGGATGAGCGAGGGAACGGGATAGGGAGATGAGTGAGGGGTTGAGGGGATGAGCGCATGTAGATGGGAAAAGGGGGCATCATGAGGGGTCTGGGAAGTGCTGAAGTCATGCACTGGGAGACTCACGCTCTTGAGGCCTTTTTGCGCTTTCGGGGGTTGACGGGCTCGGAACCGGCGTCGGCGCCTGTGTCGGATGGGGGAGGTCCCGGTGTTGATGTTGACGGTCCGGGAGCCGGAGCAGAGGCGGGAGTGTTCACTGAGGGGCCGGCTTGCTGTTGGGGCGATGGATGATTGGAAGGCTGGGCTGAAGGAGTCATGGCTTGAGACTTCCTCGTCTCATCATTGGTATTAATTGGCTGTTGAGGCTGTTCCTCAGCGGCGCCGGAGTCGTCCATCTCGATCTGGATGGTGAGTGTGAGACAAGATGTTTAAGGCGGAGCCCCATAGACAGACAGATGGAGTCAATTGCCGGAGACGGACAGCCGGGAACTACGGGAAGCTTGGATGACAGAATGAGGCTCAGATACCGACACGACGGAACCGAGCAACCAAGCATGCAGTAAGTTGGGGTGAGAATATTTTGAGATTGGACGACGATGAAAGTGACGACGAATGATGATGAGTCCTCCAAAGTTTGGTTGGGGAAATTGATAGCGGCGGGCCGCGTCGTTAATGGCTCGGCGCTATGGCGCGGGGGACCGACCATTCCCCAAATTCCCGTCAACAGTCGCCAAGAAGTGTTAGGATGCTACCGACAACGGCGCTAACGCCGGCGCTCCGTGTTACACCCCGAGGCCGGGGTTGGGTCCGATGAGGCTCCCGGAATGGGAGGTGATGGTTACGGTAGCTGAGTAAGATTGTCATTTGTCAACATGGAGAGATGCTGCAGAATATCAGCGATTCGAAATAAGGTTCATGACTACAAAGGAACGTCCAGTCTCCAGAGATGAAGCTGCATTGAAAATGGGCGGCATAGGTCGAACAAATTGATAGTGCTGTATCTCCCGTCGGTAGTAGTAACAGATGTAAGCAACGGCCTTCAACCATCATCAATTAGTACTAACGAGTACAGAACAGAGTCCCATTATTAAAAACCCATGAGCGCGTGGAACTCCAATCCATTTCTTTACATCATTTGACTAAAATTCAAAAAGCCGGCGTCGATTCACGGGAAGTCGTTCAAGGAGATGCCGGAAGGCGGAAGTGAGGTGGAGTTAAGACACCACCAAAATTGCGGGGAAAGTCCACTGAAGCTTGGCCTGCACGCCCGCATGTGGTGGTTGCAGTGGGGGATCTCAGGGACTTCTTTCCGCTCCTCCACGGGGTTGACGGGGTACCTCTAGGCTAGCAACGGAAAGGCTTTGATGGGAGATACATTTTCCCGCTTCAGGCCTCATGGAAACCCCGTGTGTCACCGTCGGCATCAATCTGCCGAACGTCCAGAGCATGGTCAAAACACTAATCATCGATTCTGGCGGTTGATAATAACTGCCAGGAAGGTTTTCAATCGTCAGCATGACTTCTTGAGTAGAGTGCAACTAGATCATGTCCTCCATGATCCCACGATATTGGACCTCACTACACACCACGCCTTCGGACCACATCGCTACATCGACGTTACATTGCCGTGAACCGGTCCCGGTCAAACTCTTAGTGGGCGGATCTCGACCTTTTGGGCTGCTCTTTTAGATAGCCTTTGATCCCCCTGGTTAGCCGACATTAATTCACGAATTCTTATCCAGCATCACTGCGCTCAACGACACTTCATCAACACCAGGGTTAATCTCACGGCAAGGGAAAGACAGAGAACGAAAATTCCAACGGAGCGGTACATGTGAGGGGCAGCAGCACATCGACCTCAACGTCTTCAACAAGCAACACTACCTCACAGACAGCCGGCAACCATGTTGGGACCAAGGAATGAGCGGGTATTCGACCCGAATGCGTCCATCGTACTCATCGGATGTCGAGGAGCTGGAAAGCGTACTCTCGGCTTTATGGGGGCTCTTCATCTTCGTCGCCGTCTAGTCACCGAGGACCACTATTTCGAGAAGCTCACCGGAATGTCCCGTGGCCAGTTCCTCCTTCAGCACGGAAAGGACCTCTTTGCGCGTCAAGACGTTGAAGTTTTCAAGCGCATGCTCGACAGCAACAGGACCGGGTGCATCATCGAGTGCGGCATGAGCAGTCTCAGCGAGGAGGCCCAAGACGCCTTGCGCGAGTACTGCAAGACGAATCCCGTCGTCTACATCCACAGAGAGAGGGAGCAAATAGCGGCTTTGCTGGATGCGACGGACGCCACGGCCCTTCTCAAAGCGGATGAGAAGCATAGGGAGTGCTCCAACTTTGAGTTCTACAACTTGGACGACTCAGCAACCCATTTTGTCGGTACCTCCACAGCAGCGGATAGCCGGCAGCCGGTTCCATCAAAGCTGCTCAATGTCCGGGAAGACTTTACGAAATTCCTGGATCAGATCACCGGCAGAGGTGCGACAAAAGCATGGCTGGAAAGCCCCTTTTCCGTTGCTGCCATTCCTCCCGAGTTCCGCTCTTACTCTTATGCTCTGCGCCTTCGCCTGTCATACCTCCAGGAAATGGATATGGAGTTGGAAGAGTTTGAGGCCACTGGAGATTGTGTTGAGTTTATCATCGATCAGTGGCCCGATGATGTCGTGGAAGTGGTATCAAAACAGGTGGCGCTCCTGAGGAGGAAATTGGGGCTGCCCATCATCTACCATGTGGAAGAAAACCCCCGAGGACAGCGGCGAAGGGCACCAGAGGAGAAGAACCCAGTGGACTCGGATCTTCTTGAGCTAGGCCTACGATTGGGTGTTGAGTATCTAAGTCTCGACCTACAACGCGAAGAATCCCTCATACAGCGTGCACTCCGTTACAAGGGCCGGTCCAAGGTCATAGGAAACTACTGGTACATGGGCTTCGGTGCTCCCCCTTGGCACGACGACCAACATCTCGAGAACTATAAACATGCCCAGTCTCTCGGCTGCGACCTGATTCGAATGGCCCGATTCTCAACAGGCGACAGTCCAGTCGAATACCTCGAATCCTTCAAGAAGCGAGTCGAACAAACCATACCCAACCCTCGCCCACCACTCGTAGCCTACGACTTTTCCGTCCTCGGCATCCGCACCCCCTTACAAAGCAAGATCCTCAACCCCGTCAAGCATCCCGACATGGACACCGACCAAGACTTTCTTGCCATCATCAGCACCTATCGCCACTCCTACGGCCTCGAGTTCCAGCAATTCCTGCTTGATCCTCTGGAATTTTACGTCACAGGCTCCAACGTCTCCTGGTCCCTCTCTCCCGCCATGCAAAACGCTGCCTATGAGTTTTCCGGCATGCCGCACACCTTTCAAGCCGTTACCTGCTCGACGCTTGACCGATTGACCCAGATCTGTTTATCCGACACCTTCGGCGGCGCCAACCTGACGGCTCCCTTCAAAGTAGCCATCATGCCGCAGCTCAAAGTCAAGTCACACCACGCCACCGCCATCGGCGCCGTCAACGTCGTTTTGCCCCTGAGGGGAAAAACCAACGCGATCCTGGACCACGCCAACTCCCGCAACAAGGCCGGTGCCGCGCAAGAGTTCTTTGGCGATAATACGGATTGGAGCTCCATCTTCACTTGTCTCCGGCGCGCTATCAGTCCGCGGAATTACGTACAGCCTTCGAAAACCACAGGGCTGGTCATCGGCGCCGGAGGCATGGCAAGGGCAGCGATTTACGCACTGATTCAGCTTGGGTGCAGGAATATTTTTGTTTATAACAGGACGGTGGAGAGGGCGAGGGAGGTGGCGGAGCATTTTAATAGTTGGGCTCAGGGACAGCAGGGCATGACACAGGTAACGGAGATTTGCAGGGTCATTGAACGGTTGGCAGATCCGTGGCCGGAGGGGTATCAATTGCCTACTATGGTCATTTCATGTGTTCCGGCGACGAATCTGGATGGGACGCCGCCGGCGGACTTTGTGATGCCCGTGGGGTGGTTGGGAAGTCCGACGGGGGGTGTAGTTGTTGAGGTCAGTCTTTTCTTCTCTTTGTTTTCTTCTGCTTCTTCGCTTTTTCCTCAGTTGCCAACACAAACTAACTCCCCTCACAGCTCGCCTACGAACCACTCATCACGCCCCTAGTCGCCCAAATGTACGCCTACCGCGACCAGGTCAACCCCGCCTGGGTAGTCGTCGACGGCCTCGAGGTCGTTGCGGAGATGGCCATCGAGGCTTTTGAGCTGATGACGGGGCGGATGGCGCCCAAGAGACTGATGAAGGAGGTTTGTAGGATGACTTGGGAACAACAGCAACGGGGAGGTGGAGATGGGGCTTCGGGGTTAGTTTTGTGAGGGGTGAATACCTACTTCTTTCTTTCTTGCTATGGATCATGGTCTTGATCGAGTACATCAAGCTGGAGAATGTGGCCGTTGTGTGAGTATCCAAGGCTGTTCTGGTGTTGACAATCTAGGATTCTTCGGCAAGTTACCTTCTATATCTACCTAACGACATCCAGAACATTGTTTTACCTCCCCTTATCCCCTTGCTCTTTTTATTATACCTGTTTATCCTACCCTTTCGACAGCCAAACTGTGGACCCTTTCCGCAGAGGAACAACACGCCAAGCTCACCTTCTTCGATCTCCCTTACAACCTCAGATCCATGAGGTATGGGTCACGAAGCCGCCCGACCGGCTAAAGTGAAACACGTGGGCATGATGGGTACCAAGTCTAAGGTTCTCTTAAAGTTCCGCAATGCTGACGTTTGTGGCAGCTGGTGATAGTGAAGGTTTGGTGTTGTCCAATCATACTAGTTGGAGGCTTGGGGGCATGCACGCCCCTAGGTGAAGGGCGTTGCGGACTTCAAGGTTCGTTCTGTGGCTCCGCAACGATGTGTTTACCAACTGATGGTATATCGGAATCATGAAGGTTTGGTGTTGTCCCGGTGAATGCTCCTCTATGTTGTTTAGTAAAGGAGTCGTGGGTAAGAGGTTATTCCACCCTCCTGCGCTCAACTCCAAAGCTATTTATAGATCCTTTACCTCTCCCACCTCCTGTCCTCTCGATCTTCCTTTTGTTTTTTTTTTGTTTTTTTCTCACATCGACCGCTAACACTCGGCAACAAGCACGTTACCCTCGGCCCTTTTGCCTACTGCTTCCCTCTACCCATTTTCCCTTCCTCTTTCCCTTCCGACTACCTACCAGTAAACACCTTCAACGATGTGCCAACACGGAAAAAATGACCTTCTTTATCCTCCCAGGTGAGATCAGAAACATAATCTACAAATTTACCTTGGAGGATGACCTCAAGCTACCTCTATATACAACCCAAATCGAAAAGGCCGGACATACCGGCACCGTTCCTTACCAACACTTCAGAACACAGCTGGTTAACCTCACCAGGTTAGCCAAAATCTGCCGCCAGATTAAGGCAGAGGCCATGGACCCCTTTTACCACTGCACCCAGCTATACGTGTGGCACCAACCGCACACCGGATTCTGGCCGCCTATGGGCCCTTACACCGACTACGAGCGCACGATGGACCTAATCAAGAGTGAGCCCACCCCCCGGGAAGCCAGACACGTCCGCTGGACGGTGATTTTGGTCAGCGACGAGGAGGTCTTCCACCCATACCACCACCAATTCATCAACCGGGTGAGAATGCGGTTCAGCACCGGGCCCGATACCATGAGGCCCTACCGCGGAGGAGGTATCCCCTATTGGCTCCGAGACAGCCTCGGGAGGCTCGAAACACTCCGCCTCGATCTAGACTGCAGGAGAGACTGGCTCGACCTCTGCGCAGAGTCTGGCTGGCTGTACCCGCTTTACCTCCGCGTGAAGAAGTTCACTCTTTCACTGAACTTTGCGGAGAAGGATGTGTATATCGAAAAAGCGCGCATGTCTCGCTATGTGCTGCGGGGCAAACCTAAGGAGATGATGTTGGAGAAGAATATCCTTAACCATTTGCTTACTTTGCCCGAGGTATGTTCTGTTCCCCTTTGTTACCTATGATATATAAAAGACCGGGAGAACATTGAAAGGAGTGGCTGGCTGACTGACGATACCTCTACTCAACAGGACGAGTATAAAGATGCGCCCAACCTGCCTATCGAGAACCATTTCGGAGCCCTCGATCCGGAATGGTCTCGCTTGTATAGGACCTAAGGACGGGAGTCAGTTACGGGTAGATTCTCGGAGGTCGACGGAGGGATGCGGATTCCGGACGGCGTTGAGGAGGACACGGGTTCCGGTTCCGGCTTTGGAAACATGGCGAGGCCGCTCGCTGGTCGATGGTTTTCCATGCCGGCTGGTTGTTGGTACATATATGTAGTATGTACATACATACATAACTCTCGCAAAAAAGCCTTACTCCGATTTCCAAATGTTCTTTCTTGTTTTGTTCAGTTTTGAGTACGTGTACCGAATAAACTTGGGCCATTCGCCTTCGGCCATTTCCCCCCCTTGAGCGCCCATAGAGAGCATATCTGTACAAGGCATGCACAGTAGCTGTACATTGAAATGTATGTAGGATCAGCTGGAGTACAATATTCCTGAGCGGAGTATTGTCAACTCAGCCTGGTTTAGATACTGTGTGTTCGAGCCAGAGATTCTTCTGCAAAGACTAGAAGCTAGCAACTCTCAACACCTTATACCGGTCCTCACCACTATATACGGTAGTTTTGTTATCTGAGCGGGCACATATGCTTGCGCATGCTGCAAATGGCTGGCTGGGCTTCGCATTACCGAATAATCTCGAGAAACTCGGAATTTCCAGCCACCTCCACAGATTCCCTTCTTGGGCGCCGATAGGTATGCCAGCAGAACTGTATGATGCAAGTCCGACTTCTGCTCCTCAAGACGCACGCAAGTTACAGTGGATGGCAACATCTACCTACCTAGGCCTTTTCACTACCTAACAACGCAGAGCTGTAATGCGGTTTGAGGTATGTTTGACAGGCGGGCATATCTGCGCCAAGGAAGGAAATTTGTGGAGGTATAGCTGGATTCCGAGTTTCTCGAGATTATTCGGTATGTCCAGTCTAGACCTCCCTTGTGGAAAGGCTGAAGACGAACCCTCCGAGTTCATTCGGTAGTACAGCGCATGGAAGTTACGGTGGTGAGGAAAAGTATTAGAGAGGAGTGTCTTGGTGATACCTACACTTGTAGGGTAATGATGAGTGGTGACTTACTTGGACGATTCCATGGAGGATGTTGTTTTCCATGCAACTGGCCGGCACTCATTTGGCTACCTAATTCTTCCCCTCGTTCTCAGGTTGAGGAGCCGTTTGTGAAATGCAGTTTATCCAGAGTCTTGAATTAGAAACAAGAATTTGTTGGAAGGCGCGTCCTGCACACCAGGCAGCATGCACCCTCCTCGACGATGGAGTGAAGGTTTGGGTCCTTGGTCCTTGGTCTTTGCTCCTGCGCTTTCTTGACAACTTGGCCTTTGCAAATTCAAGGTTTATTTGATTTGGCTTTGCATAAAATGTATTTATTCCTTCACTTCCCGCTCTTCTTCTTCCTTACCAGCTCACCATCCCTATATATTCCTTCCACTCTTCTGCTCGCCAAATCTTTTTGGTTTTCACTCCCCCGCAAATACTCAAGAACAACCGAACAACTTCTGCCTCCAGTCTCTTCCACCACACTGCCCCTTCCTTACTCCTATTGTCTTCTCCGTCCAGGTGCTACTTCTCTCACCATGGATCCCCCCACTGCAACTTCCGCCGCAGGCACCATTCACCACCCTGGTACAGACATGAGTTCTCCATGGAAACCTCAAAGCATATCCTTCTTCGAACTCCCCACGGAGGTCAGATTTCTGATCTACAGTTTCCTAACAGCCCCCGACAAGGAGCTGTACGAATTCATGGTAGTCCCGCCTATTAAAGACCCAGGCAGCCTGAAGCACGACTACCTGAAAGAACAGCTGGATGGGCTGAAGAAGCTGGGAAGAATTTGCCAGGCTATTCGTCATGAAGTCTACAACGAATTCTTCCACCACACGCAGATCTACCTGCGTCACGAGCCCTGGGAAAATCTGGATGGCGCCTATTATTCGGATGAGTACCAGCAGGGCCTCGACGTGCTCATCAAGAACCCGATTCTTGCCACGCATACCAAGCACGTCTACTGGGCTTTGATGCTTGACAAAGATGAGGAGGATATCGACAATTGGAAGCACCGAGGCATTCGCCTGTACGATTCGGAGTACGAGGTGCGCCTGACCAAGAAGGACGTGCCTTGGCCGTGGGAGTCATATACCTTTGTCATGGACATGCCAAATCTGACGACCCTCCATATCGACGTGGAGTGCTACAAGGACTGGCGGGACTTGCAACAAATGCAGTCTCGATGCATGGCTGCGCTTTGGGAATGGCCTACGATGAAGAAGCTTACTCTTCGCCTCAGATTCAAGACAGCCAAAGGCATTGTGAGGAAAGCATTCCGTTCGCGGTGGGTAAAGCAAGGACGCCCAAAGGAGCGGTTGACGAGGAACATCTTGAACCATCTCCTGACACTGCCCGAGGTATGTTTTCTTCTCCTGACTATCACAGTCTTGGCCCCATACCCCCCCTCCACCTTTACTCCTTGATTCTTGACCACCGCCGATGATACCTCTACGGATGGTTACTAACTCGCCGTCTGGCTCAACAGGATACATACCAGAATTTTCCGTCTCGCCCCATCAAGAACCACCTTGGTTACCAATGTCCGGTATGGCCTCGCTTGGAACATTTCTAGAGACACCCATCTCGAGAGTTCGCTGGCCCGACAGTTCTTCCCTTTACTCCAAGAATACTTTACCCGATGGCTCAACAACTTCACGGCCTTTCTGCACGGAAGAACTTGATCCTCATGACTTCAACGGGTGAAGCGACTCACGTTGGTCTCCAGGCAGAAATGCCCGAAAAGACATTGAGTTCTACGTAGCATTAGGACTAGCCTGCTCTACTTCTTTTTTTTCTTCCCTCTTGCAGTTTCGTCCAGTCTGTTACCCTATGTTACTCCAAGTGCTATGACTCGTTTTTGCCCATACAAGCCGTCTGTACCTATTATGAGAGAGAGAGGGATTGAAGGTTGGCTGGCTCGATAACGCCCAACACCTTGACGGCAATTCACTAATACAAAACCTTGACCACCAATCACAAGACCACCTTTCACCAGACACCTTTCACCAGTCTACCATTTACCAGACGGACAATTCATCGCCGGCTTGTGCACGCCTGGGAAAATACTCCTGCCCAATCTGGGAGCCACTATAAACCGGAATCCATGCCGGTTCTACGTCTCACTCGACTTTCCTGATTTTGTCCGCAACATCCAGCCCGGTATCCTCGATTCTTCAACCAGCCTTTGCCTCCTCCACCACTATCAACGTACCATTCATCAACATGATAAAGTCCCTACTTCTCGACCTTCCAGTAGATACTCGGTTCGCGATCTGGGAGGCCACTTGGAGCGTTCCTAACATTGACGGAAAGCACAACCCCGACAAGTACCTCAGACACGACGAAACGTATGCCCAACTCTGCGTAGTCTACCAGTTGGGAAGAATCTGTCGGCAAATCCAATACGAGGTCTTTCGAGAATTCTTTCACCATACCCAGTTCGCCCATTCCAACGACATGGAGTCGTACCGCTCCAGAGACGAGAGAAAGGCTCTGAGCCTGGTCTTATAATCTCGCCCGTCCTCCAGCAGAACGTTACCGTAGGCATGCGGGTTTGCATTGGCCACGATTACGGTACGGCAGCCAGCAGTTCATCCGCGTTACTATGAAGATACTGTCATGTGCGCCACACTTAAGCACCCCCGAAGTTGTGTTTACGGACTCGGGGCTTCATGGTGATGGCGGCCGTGTTGAAGGAAGGATGCTGGAAACCCGAAAGCTTTCTTTGAACCGCCGGTCATGAGCGACTATTTCGGTGCAATATATGATCGAAACCACAACCCGCTGCTAGGACTGCAGTTGTTCAAGAAACGAGTACCGCTGCCGTTGGACAAGACCAAGTTGAGGCTGAAGTTCGACCGCGCTGAGGACGTTCAAGTTTGGGAACATAGTGGTTCCAGAAAATCAGGCGGGAGATTGCGGAAGCTCGTCTCAGGGGGGAGAAGGGGTAAGTCATGATCATCACAGTTCCATTGCCTTTCCATTCAGGTTGACAGCTATTCCATATCACATATCCCGTCTTCAAATCAGGACATAGCTGCTTCAAAATAAGTTGCCCGGGCCTACGACTAACACCACACCCCACCCAGTCTGCAGAGACCTTTTACCCCTGAGCTGTACCACGCACTCTGAGAAGACCACATTGACCCCAACAGACCAGGCTGGAACGTCTCATCGCACGTGTAGTCTAGTTAGTACTCCGACCACACTACTCGGGCAGCATCAGTCCAGTCTACTCGGCAATGTCGACTGCTTTTTTCCGAAAGTACCGAGCAAGTCACACAATCTTCGGTGACGATGGGGTGATTATCGACGATACCTGTTTATAAGAGCGCATATAAGTGAAAGAAAGAAGAGAAGGGACGCATACGTGTCCGAGTGCGAGCAACACATTGGTGGTCGTGGGTTTTGCTGGCCGAGCGAGGTCAAGGGCATATATGCGGATTTGAGCACGCATGGAAATCATCGCAAGGATGGACAACACTTCAATGGCTAGAGATGGACGAGGGTGGATCAGATTCCCGAGTAGACCTAGGAGAAGGGAAGTAGTTTGAAAGGGCGTTGAGTGCATGCACGTACCATCACAACCAGCCTACAGGATTGATCTGTTCACATTATTGTAGGGACTCGGACAAGTTATTACTAGGTAGACGACGCATTCTCTTCTTCTTCTGATTCTTGGAAGGAATCCAATTATTGCAAAGGGTCTATCTGTGTGCATATCGTTGAAGACACTACTACCAATTTGATGTATCCGCCAAATTCATCACCACCAACCACTACGGACTGTATAATCCAAAGAAAGACTTCAGCACTTCTTTCTCTGGGCATGTAAGAGGGTAATTAAGGGCTTTGTGTTTGCCTTTTCCCAACTGAAGTCTTCTTCAGTCTTGACTGAGCTGTTGAGAGCGGTCGTGCTAAATTCGGCACGGGGGAGATTAAGCTGCTTACACTACGTAGACACTCGGGCGCAATACCACCGACACGACCAATATCTTCCGGATACAATAATGTAAGAATCAGGTACAGCAGTAGATGTGCATTTAAAACAACGGGTTTCAGTAACTAAGAGTGGTTATTGTTTTGCTGCCGACCGACTGTACACTCGAGCTCGCCTCACCCCAAGGAAAAAGAAATCCTTTTGTCCTTGGTAAAACTGCTTTATCTTGTGGATTGATTATCATGTCTGTTTTTCGCTATGTCAAAAAATGAATTAGGAAGTCCCTATGTAAACGTTTGCGGACTTCCCCTTTGTGGTAAATAACCACTGCTCTTTACAACAAAGTTTTCGTGGAACGGAATGCGTGGAATTTTAGACGATTTTGTGTGGGAGCAACTTACCACGACATGCATTGTTACCAGACGAGCGCACCCCTTTTGTGCCATGTAGACACTCAACTGCTGAAAGGTATAGCTAACGCAACTCACTTAAAAGACTTCAAGTATAACCTGAAAAGAATAGGTAGGCAAACGCCAATTGGCTATTCTTCTTTCTCCTTTTGCCCTGTCTGTCTGTTTAATACCTGCCTACTATGATTTCCCAAACATGAGCTTATCCGTCAATATCTACCCTACCATACCATATTATACCATACCATACGTATACTAAGCCCTATTCTCTCTCCTTTCCTTCTCTCATGCCCCTGAGCGGATCAGCACCAAGTAAAAACCGGATTCCGACTCTTCACAGCCTCCAACCTCTCCACAATCACCTTCCTCTGATTCCCCTCCATGCCCTCCGCCGCCGCATACCCCAAGTCACCACCAGCATCCAACTCGTCCACATCCCCATTGACATTCACATACGCACCAAAAACGCCTTCCCCAGCTCCTTCGAGACTCCATTCCCTTGCATGTCCATTGTGAGAGTAACTGGTACTGTACATCTGACTAGCAATGGTATTTCCGACTTTGCGGCTCGCGGGCGTAGCGAAGCTGAAGCGGCGCTCGTGATAGCCAGCTTGGCCACCGGCGCCGGGGCCAGCAGAACCGTCGCGGTCGGGGTTGTACATGTTTAGACCGTTGGCCGGGGGTCGGAGGGAGATAGGATAGTGCTTTCGCGTGGTTGTGGTATTGTCGGACTCGCTGCGACGGGGCGGCGAAGCGAGGGGGTGGTCGATTGTTCCCGTTGTCCCGTTAGGAGGCGAGATATGGCCTTCGGGCAAGGATTGCGGGAAGTCGTTGTCGGTTGCTGCGGGACTAGCGATCTCAAACCGGCCCGGGTGAGGAAGGTCGGCATTGCTGCTGGAGCCGAGACCGAGGAGATCGGCGACCACGGGTTTGGATGAATTACCGGCGAAGCCAATGTCCATCTCCTCTTCGTCAATGGAGGTGGGCTTGAGCCTGTGGCCGGGAATGAAGTAATCCGTTTTTCCTTGGTGTTCGCGGTCGGCAGCGGCAGCGGCAGCGGCCTGGCGACGCATCTCCGCACTAGGAGCCCTCATGGGAACGGCTACGGGCACGTCGACGAGGTCGTCCCAGACGCACACCTTGGCGCGGCGAGTCAGTTCTAGGGGACCGTGGTCGGGCGTTTTCAGCGTTTCGACCACGTTCCAGGCTTGACCCTTCATAACGGCAATCTGCTTGGCGAACATGCGCTCCTGGAAGTCGGGATCGATCTGGAAGACACGTCGAAGGGCAAGTTGTGTTTGGCTCCACCAGGCGGTAGATGTTAGTAGAGGGAGGAAGTGGTCTCTTGTCTTTTGGGAGAATGGTCGGCCGATGAGGTCGACTGGTAGGAAGAGCCATCCGAATGGGAAACTAGAGTTCTTGTTAGCAACAGTCAACGAACAGATAAAAAGAGCAACTTACCTTCTCCAAGCATCGGGGTGCTTCCATGGCCACGACAAAGAGTTATCAATGGCTCCAATCGTGATCTTGGGATCGTGATTCGCTGCCCCCGTCGAAGTTGAAGCATCCATCGGCTTCTGTGTCCTATAGGGATACGATGCCCTCGTCTTGGGGGGTCCCCTCTGACTCAAATCCACCGGTCTCGGCCCTTGTTCCGCCGCATCATCGTCCTCTTCCCGATCCTCCGTATTCGTGTTAAGGTGTACCGGATCCGACACTATCGAAACCTCCTGGGTTTCCCAGTCTACCTTGATCATCCAATTGTCCAACCCTCTGTCCGTATTCCGCATGATGTAATCCAAAATGACCAACTTCTCCAGTTCCTCCCTGAAAGCCTGCTTCAGGGTCGGCGTCCAGACAAAGTTGCCCGGGCCTGGTGTGAGTGAGGCTGGACTGCCGTTTTCGTCGTCACTGTCGCCTTCGCCCGCCGGCGAGCTACCAGGGCGGCAGCTGTCCACCCAACGCTTCTTCTTCTTTCGGTGCGAATCATTGGTCCGGAAACCGGAGAGATACTGGTCTGGCCATGGGTGCTCTCGAAGGAATAGGTTGGCGTCTTTGAATCCCTTGAGGAAGACCTGAAAGCTGCCCGGTTTGGCGGGTAGTGTTTTCTTGTTCCGGGAATAGCTGTAGCGATCCCAGAATGGGTAATGGAACGATTTGGAGGAAAGGTAGACAACGTCGGTGTAGGGAACCATGTGTGTGCGAAGTTGGGCGTCGAGTACATAGGCGGCGGCTTCACTGACGTATGACAGGTTGGGAATCAAGCTGTAACAGAGAAACACATGTTAGTCAATGCTAAACCAATGGGTCCTCGAAATGTGAACTTACCAAGCCCTGCCAAAACAACAAGGAAACAGATTTCGATGAATCCACTTATTCCATTTCGGATTACCCGCCGCATACGGCTCCTCGTCCTTGGGTTTAAACACACCCACCACCTTGCCGTCCATGTTTCTCGCAAAGTAACTCCCCGAACTGCCCTGGGAGATCATCCGCGGATGCACCCCCTGCTGAATGGCTGTCCTCACACTATCCACAATCGCCTCGAATTCCTCCTTGGTCATGTACCCCGGCTCCGGCCTAGCCAGAATCTCCGCCGTGACGGGCCTCACGCCCTCGGGCGCTTGGAACACAGTATGATGGATCTCAAGCTGCTCATCATCATCCCCGCCCTTCTTCTTGCCGCGCTTGAACTTGCTGGCGATCTCATCGGCCCAGCGCTCCAACCGCGCGTTGATGGCTTTGAGGTCCACGCCCGAGTTGCTTCGTTGTCTTGGTCCCCGGCTGCCCTTTCTTCCCCCAGTAGGCCGGAACGAAGTGTCGGACATCTTGGGGCTGGTCATGCCCGAGTGCGGGCGCGGTTGCGTGATGGGTGCATAGCGGGGTGCGGAGGCGGGCTGGAGCGAGGCTACGCTATAGTCGAGGGCGTCAGTGTCCGAGTCGTCGCTTAGATTGTCGGCCTGGGCGAGGCGTTCGTAGCCTGTCGTGGCGGGCCGTGTGCGGGGCATTGTGATGGTGGTTTCTGGGGATTATGTTTGTGTGTGTATGTAGCTCGGTTGTTTGGGTCGAGAATTGCTTGGCGAGCTGCTAGTCACCGGTCCGGTAGGCTTTGGATCGGGCAATGCTGTGATGGGTGCCAAGCGATTGTTGTAGGTGTCGAGGAAGCTGAGTTTATGCGGTGACCATTGTGGGCTTGGAGAAGCGGTCGGAGATCGATGTCGTAATGGTCGATGACTCGGCTCGGTCGAAAAGCGAAAGGTTGTGTCTCGAGGTCCGAAGGCGGGGAGAGTGGCTGGAACACCACGGTTGAAAGAAGAAGCAGCTGATATGCCGGTCGATATTAATACAGCGTAATTGGGTTACAAAGTGTCGTTCTCTCTGGGGATATGTAGTAGTCGTAATGATAGTGATGATGTATCGAACTGGTGGTGGTGTTGCTATTGTCTCGGAGGGATGGTTGCTTTGCTAAATCCGCCGCGTGTGGTATTCGTAGGTAGGTAGACGGCGTCCTGTAGGTCTCGAATCTCGTTTGTTGATTGGTGATTGCCCGTTCGATCCGAAACTGGTTCCTTCGATTGTATCAAACGATATGCCTGGCCGGTGATGCTTGCAATTAGTTGACAATTGCGTCTTTGTTTGAAGATGTCGGGAGTGGTTGTTGTTTGTTTGTTTCCCGATATTGCAGTGGCAGGCACTGGAGGATGAAAGTGGGAAGGGGAACAATGAGTGGGATGGAACACCACTTGGAATCCCAGTGGAACGGCGGGACACGCTTCCCAAGGCTTCAACAAGTGCGACGCCTCGCTAGGGCGGTGGGCAACCAACCTTGCTAGCGGATGGAACCGCCTGGCCGTGCACACCCAATTCGCTGAAACGTCCCGATGGTGGTGTGCGTTAGGACTACGCACTAACAATTATTTGCAGATCATGCACGGTGGTGTGGATTTATCCATTCAGCCCCTGAATCGACATCAACAATCACAACACGGCATTATAAGAATCATCAACGTCACGAGACACTCGACGAAGTGGAATGCACATCACGCTTTTTACACTTCTAACCAACGTCAGCAATAACTTTAATCTTTCATCATTTCATATGAGGTATTTGTCCCAATACCGCTTCGTCGCATCGGTATCACGGTAATCTTGCACAATTATCACGACTACCATCGGTAGGATTGGGTAGGCAGGTACGAACGCAGTTCAAACGTCTAGACTTCCGTCAGACTTCACGTTTCGAGGCCCAGATTCAAATAGCCTTGAGTCCAGCGTCAACAGATTTCACACGAGCATATTATTTCATTTCACAGCAGAACAAAAGTATCATAACATCAGTCGCACTTTTAATTCATAAGCCAAAACGGCCATTCCGCACTTTTTAAGTGCTTTAAAACCCCACCAACCAACTATCTCGGAGTGAACTGGCTGGTATTCCCTAACAGTAAAGTAAAAAATCCCTTCCTTTCCTAATGCAACCAAATGCCAAATGCCAATCGTCTACTCCTACGCGCCTTTGTAAATACTCAATATGCCTCTGCTAAAAAGCAAGAGGTCTTTTTAAGAAACCAAAATTGCCTGATGTCCTGTCCGTAATGCATCCATTTTCCCGTAGTAAAAAGCAAAATAATGCCGGGGTATCATGCCGTAAGCGCCGATTCTGATGCTGATGCCGTAAAGAGACAGCCATAAAACCCCCCATAAAATCCCCGGAGAAGAAAGAGAATGGGTCCCTAGTGGAACCCAAGGTCCCTCTTCTCCTCAAAACTCATCCCCTTCCACTTCCGAACCCTCTCCTTCTCCTCGTCCTCCCTCCTCTGCTGCTCCCTCAGCCACTTTGCATCATCCACGTGCGCCTGCGCCATGGCCACGTTCATCGCCGTGTTGATTTCATCATACTGCTGCTGGGCAGTGCGGCGGTCCTCCTCCTGAGCAGGGGCGGGAAAAACCCCGCGACGAGCCCTCTCCCTCTCCTCGCGAGCAGCCTGCGCCCGCGCGGCCTTGCACAGCCTGCAGGCCCTTTCGGGGTGTGTAGCCGCGGGGTCCTCCGCAGGGCGGCAAAGCCACCAGCCGCCGCGCTCGCGCTTGATGGCCGTGGGCCACTCGCGGTGGGGGCCGTGGAACTCGGGGAAGATCTCGGGCGCGGGCTTTTTCTTCGTGGCGGCACCGCCAGCCTTCTTCTCGTCTTCGGCCTTCTGGTAGAGCTCGGAAAACTTGACCATGAACTCATCGAAGCGCTCGCGGGGGCGGGCGGAGCGGAGGGACACCAGCTGTTGGGCGTCGAAGATGGTGAACCAGCTCGGCACGTTCTGCGGGACGAGAGGGTGCGGGTTGACTAGGGCGCCGGCTTCGGCGAGGGTTTGGGGCTGGGGGAGGCGGACGTTCTCGAGGATAGAATCGTCGGCGGCGGCGGTGGCGGATGAGGAGTTGGGATCGGCGGCGGCGGTGATGTAGCTTGGGGTTGAGGAGAAGGGGTCGATGTTGGCGGCTGTGGTGCCTGTGGCAGAGGTGGTGGCCTTGCCCTTGCCTTTATCTTTGGCAGAGGGGCGACGAGGTTCGGCGTTGTAGATATCTTCGTCGGCGAGGAGGTAGTTGGCCTCATCGGCCTGGTTAGCGGTGGTGGTGGTAGGGAAGGGGTAGTCGGTGTCGGAGTCGACGGCCTTTGCCTTGCCCTTATCTTTGCGGGTCTTGGCGGCGGTGGATTGCTCAATCTGGAGCTGGAAACACTCCTCCTCCTCTACCTTCTTTTGGCGATGGAGTTTGATAAAGTCGAACAGACGCTTCTCCTCTTCCTGTTTCTTCTTCTCCTCGGCCTTGCGCTTCTCATCGGTGCCTTTAAAGTTCGAGATGTCCATGCTGTCCATGTGGAGAGCCATGATGACGGTGCGGTTGTACTCAGCCATCAGCTCGTGGTATTTCTGTAGGAGCTGGCGAAGCTCTGCGGCGTTGTCCTCCTGATACATTTCGATTTGGTAGATCTTAGCCTCGACGTCACGTCTTTGGGTGCCGACTAGGACGTTCAGGCCGCGGTTGCGGTTGATCTTGTGCTTGAGCCCGGAGAGTTCCTTGTCGAGGTTCACTTTGTCTAACACTAGTTCTTCGGCCCTGGCGCGAATGGCGTCCAGTTCGGTCTGGATATCCTTTAGGTAATTGGCGTAGCGCTTGACGTCTTCGTGCTGATAGTCGAGCCAGCCGTCAATCTCGTGGATGAAGCCGAAAAGCTTGGTTTTGTCGAGTTTGGAGATGTCGTCACAGGGCTGCTCAACAGCGTGACCGAGAGAGTCGTCGTGTTGCAGGAGTTTGCCGTTGTTAACCCAGGGAGCTCTGATGGTCTCGACGTGCTTCCAGGGAAAGGCTTCTGCTGCTGCTTTGTTGAGTGATTTTGCTGGGTACCTGATCGCGTTGAACATGAAGAATGGAAAGTCAGTGGATTCCTTCGTAGCCTTATGCCGGGGATGCAAAAAGTAGGTGTCTTTGGGTCCTTCAACAATCTCATTAGTGGGGAGACCAAGGTAGGCCTCGGGTGATCTGAATCTGGGATCATTGCTGCGGTCAACTACCGCAGTGGAAGAATTGCCCTCTTCCTCCTTGTTATTGTTGCCAGGCAGTATAGTCCCTTGTGCCATGATGGTCGCTACCGACTCCAAAGAGCCGGTGCTAGCGTAACTGGTCGCGAAGCTGGTGCCACTCAGCGACGGCGACGAAGCTGGGAGGGGGATCTCCTCGGGGCCGGACGCGTCCTCTTCGTCTATGTCATCATTGCTGCCAAGCAAGATGGTTCCCTGTGCCAAAGTGGTCATTCCTGACTGGAAAGAGCCGGTGCTGGCATAGCTGGTGTCCTCTTCGTCCATGTTATCGTTGCTGCCACGCAAGATCGTCCCTTGTGCCACAGCCGTCATTTCCGACTGAAAAGAGCCGGTGCTGGCATAACTGGTGCCAGCCAGTGTAGGTGATGACGCCGCAAGGTCAACGTCCTCAGTACCGGACTCGTCCTCTTCGTCCATGTTGCTGTTTCTGCCAGCTAAATTGATCCCTTGTCTAAGGATGGCCGTTCCTAACTCGACAGAGTCGATGCTAGCATGACTGGTGCCAACCAGTGTCGGCGATGAGGCCCGAAGGGGAACGACCTGGGGACCGGACGAGAGAAGAGGTTCATCCTCGGGACTGGACGAAGGAAGGAGAATACTCTGATGAGGAGCCTCTGAGGGACGGCTACTGGCCATGAAGCCCAACCAGCGCGGGACTCTAAGGTCTGTAAAAGCGCGAGGAGTGCGAGACATGTTCTTGAAGCGATAGGCACCAACTATGCTTATGGCGACGGTAGGTCTTGGGGCGGGCGACATGAGCTTGCCCACGACGGGGTTGGGGAGAGAGATGGTATCCAGTGTAGGGCGGGGTCTCCTTGGGTTCACCATCTTGTGTTCGTTCCGTTCGACAACTTCTGAAGAAATAGAGAGTTGTGGAAGCGTACCTTTTCTGGTGAAGAAGGGCTTGATTGTTGATGGAGGTCTGGTGGTGAAGATGGTGATAGCTGACGAGTGGATAGTCGTCGCGTTGAACAACTGGAGAGAATGTTAGTGACGCGCAATACACGAGTGGATTTGGGGATGTGACCTACCTGCGAGGTGATGTTCAAGTGATAGTCGACGTCTTGATGATCGTCGAGTGATGGCTGTGATCTGATATGATCGTGATCTGGCGGTATATGAGTTAGTATTAGTCGAGCTCGACCATGAATGAGGGGTGGTGGGTTGTTGAGGAGCTTACCTTGTAAAAGTAGTCAAGTCGCAGGCCGATGAGGGGTTGTAGTATTGTGTCGACTGAAGAGAGAACGCAAAGTCGTGATCGCGGTGATATCTTGTACGCTGTTGAGAAGCGATGTGGTCAGCGAGTTGATGCGCGGTAGAGAGAAGGTGATGCTGATGGCAAGAGAAGAAGGTGTGGGATGGCGAAGAAGATGTGTGATGGGCGAAAGAAGTGTGGATGCGCGATGGCAGAGATGTTCTCGGATGGAGGGGTATTGTGCGAGTTATTGAAGAGTTATTGAAGAGTTATTGTGCTTGCGAAGATGAGATGGTATGCGCTGCGACAACAATATGAGTTGCGGTATTGTGGATGTGGATGGGCTGTGAAAAGGAGAAGGATGGGTTCAGGGTGAGGGGAGGTTGAGATGTGGTATTATACCTCTCCTATTGTCGACGGTCACCTTCAACGGTCGCAGTTCAGGTTGGTTGACGTCGACGTGGTGAGTGAGGTTTGAACCAGATCGAAGTAAACACTGGTGCTGTGATAGCTGAACGGAGGAGCTGGTTGTCTGGGAAACTGGTGATGTTCTGTGAACAGCCTCATAAACAGTCAAGAACAGTGGTGCCGTTGCCAGATCAAGTGGGCTGGTTTCCAGAGGAGGAAGTATAGCCAAACCAGCGCCGTCTGCCTGTTCAGTGCACAATCGTTTTGGTACCTCGCCGTCGTCATTAACGCTAGCGAGTAGCCGACAGCAGCAACATCGGACGACAGACATTCCAGGAGTGACGTAACGTATTCAGGTTCAGATCTGCTATTCAGCGAGCAAGTGAAGGTATGCGAGGGTGGTACTCGAGGCTTGATAGCTTTACACGGCGGCATTATTCCAACGTTGACGGTCTCCTTCGTCCGATTTGCGTAGGCGCTAGCTCGAGTATCTTGGAGGCGAGGCACACAGCGCTCGACAGCAATTGCACGGGGTACGGTATTTCAGGCCGGCAACCTTTGAGGTTGGCCTGTCAACTATGACAGAAACGGAAACGGTCACAAGGATGACAGCGAAGACCACAACCACGGCACCTGATAGAAGAGAGAAGCTCATAGAGATTGGGGTAAAATAACGAAGACATGTTACTAGAGTGCCATAGCCGCAACAGACCCAACAGACACCGTCTCGCGCATTCCCCTGTCCTTCTCGAGCAACAAGATCTGCTTTTTCTTCCGCTTATTGATCGCCGACAAGTCATTGAACCTGCCACGCGCACCATGCTTGAGCTTGGTGATCATATCCGAGGCCGCTCCTCTCGTCACGTCTTCAGGTCCGACCGGCTCTTGCCCGCGCCGAATCGTCTTGTTGATGAACTTGATCTGCCCCTCGGTCGCGGGATCGTCGCGCCATTTCATGTTCCTGTGAATGAAATTCCTAGGGTACTTTGCTGAGCCCGCCTTGGACCCAAGAAAGCTGTCGGCACCATGGACGGCATCGGCAAACGTCTCGGCCTTTAAAATCTCGCGTGGCGGCATATAAGGCGATTTGGATCCCAAAGCGGCAGGCAGCGTGCTCACTTCGTGGGCTACCCATAGTGGTACGCCTTGTACGTCTGCCTCGGGCGCAACCTTCCCCAGCTTGATGTGGGAACCGTCTGGGCCGCTTATCACGTACTTGTCCTGTCCGACCATCACCCAGGAGTACTGGCTAATCGAGCGGATGTGTCTCTCACCCGACGAGTCGGCAATCAAGTCAAACACAGACGCGTACTCGGTGAATGTCACAGCCCACTCCCCTTGTGACGCGGCAGTCGTTTGTCCAGCCGAGTAATGAACGATTTCCTTTTTCGCTACCTCATCGGCCCTGCGCTCTCCCTTCTCCTTCATATCCTCGACTGACGCGCCCTCTACCAGCAGACCCGGGTCAAGCCCAAACAATGTCGGCGTCGTCACGATACCCGTCTCCAAACTTGACACCATATCGATGATGTGACAGTTCTCCTTGCCCGGGTACAACCTCATGCCGCGTCCAATCATCTGAATCAGCAGATTCTTCGACCGCGTCGGCCGCGCCATCAAGATACAGTCGATATTCGGGATATCCGTCCCCTCGGTGAACACACCACAGTTCACCAGCACAGGGAACTCGAATTTCTTGAACGCATCCAAAATCTGCGCCCGCTCCTTGACGGGCGTGTCGCCCGCAACGGACCGCGCGTCGTACCCGTACCGCCGGAAAGTGGCCGTCATGTCCTCCACATGAGCAAGATCAACACAAAACACCAGCGTAGACTTGCGGTTCCCTGCCTTGGCGTACCAAGTGCGCACGGCGATGTCGTTGGTCTCTGCAGAGTTGACAGCGTTGGAAAGCTGGGCTATGTCAAAGTCTCCTCCAGCGCCCTTCTTGACGTTGCGTAGGTCTACCGACGAGTCGACCGTGGTGAAAACGACGTCGGATAACCACTTGTCGCCAATCATGTCGACGTAGTCCTTGTGGTAGACAATTTCGTCGATGGCTGTTCCTAGCCTGACGCCGTCGGCGCGGGAGAAAGTGGCTGAGACGCCGACCAGATGCGGCGAGTCCTCCTGCTTGTACCGAAGACCAAAGTGCTCGAGGGTGCGCAGGTAGCCGGGGGCGACGATGTGGTGGGCTTCATCGACGAGGATGAGCTTGAAGCGGGATGGATCGAACTTGAGCAGGCGCTCGCCCGAGATGATGGATTGCAGGCTGGCGACGGTGATGTCGGCGATGCCGGAGGCTTTGACGTTGCCCATCTCGACCTCAACGGTCTTGTTCGGGTAGGTGTTGGCGCAGTGGCGGGCGGCTTGCTCGACTAGTTCTCGGCGGTGGGCAATGATGAGGGTTTGCGTGGCATTTTCGGAGCGAGGCGCAACGCGGTCGATGAGATGAATGAAGATGACCTTGATGAAGGGTTAGTAAGGGTTTACCACATGTCGATAATGGAAAAGAGTAATCCTCACGGTTTTGCCGGAACCCGTGGCCAAAGAAACCCCCAACCGCTTATGACCTTGGTTGATGGCTGCGAGAACGGATTGAATGCATTCTTCTTGATAGTCACGAAGTTGGATTTGTTGTGAAAGGAGATTTGTGAGACGGACTGAGTGGGTAAAGAAACGTGGGTGGCAATTTGATGGGGTCGACGGGATGCTCATTAGTGCTCTCGATATTGAGTTATGTGGTGTCGTGAGTCTCAATGCCCTAGTGGCTGTTAATAGCCTCTTGATGGCGACACTCATGGCTTCGAGTCTAATCCGAGGTGATGATGTCTGCTTTTTGGTCTTTGGCCGCCACTCGTCGTCCCCTTTGTCCCTTCAACAACAGCGAACGCTCATAACACTCGACTAAAATGAAGGCCCGAAAGACGTTATCGTAGTGGCATGTGATAATGAGTGACTGGGTGAGGAAAAGAAATGCGGAACATGAAGATTTCACAATGTCAAGAGGTTGTTGTTTTGGGCATTGAAACGGCGACGGGAGTTCAGGGCAAGGCGCATGCGAACGCCGTTGAAGGCTGTGATTTTAGTGGCCGCTGCCGAGATCTCTGTTGACCAATCACAGTCACCGGTTTAACGTCAACGAGGATTGCATATCGTTTGTACGTTGAACAGCGGGTATGAAATAACTCGTTGAAAAGGGATTTATTCGGCGGATATTGCGCATAGTATAGAGCAGATATGACCGAAACCAGTAGTCAAAGGGATGTTTTATCTCTGACCTTCGGGCTTGTCTCTGAACATGTGGGTCTTGTTTCTAAACAGACTGTGTCTTACAAACCAGTAAACTAGATTCCGCTGGATGCGCTCTGATTGGTGACTTGGCGATCCTGCGTGTAAAGTGGAGCTCCTGTCTGGTACCTGGTAGCCACTACAGAAAATTCGCAACATGCTGGATACCACAAAAGGATTGTTGGATAAGTACCTATATTACAGACATCATCATGTTGTGGTGCTCGGACGAGCTGTGAAATATTATTAGGATAACCATGTAGGTATCGTCAATTGCACAGACACTTTTGGGTAAGAGAGTACAAACTCTAGCCTTCTGTTGGTTCCCCACATTCAAGTGCATGGATTTCCTCACTTCATCTTTCATCTCCTTCAATCCAATCGCAGCCTCCCTTTCCAACGGACATTGTTCATGACTGGACTGCCACCATATCATCTCGTCTTTGATGTAGTCGGACTTGCCCCGTTTCCACATTCACTTCAGCAAACAAACGCCTGAACAATCAAATGGACACAGAACCCGACCACAGTGACCATGCCGCCGGCAACAGCTCCCCCCACCGGCAACGACCACGACGCTCAGTCCGCAGTCAAAGCCGTCAACTAGACTCTGAACCAGATCATCACCGTGTAAAATCAGAACCACAGAGCGACGACAATAACGACGAGAATGATGCCGAATCACATTACGAGAGCGCCATCGATGACACCGAATTCGATTACGCTCAGCTAGACGGCATTCCCCGTCGGCGCCACCAAGTCGAATCAGCAGGCAGCGAATATGAACCTCCCTCAGATGAAGAGCCCGATCAACAAAAGAAGAGGGCAAGATCACGCTCACGCTCAAAATCCGTCACCACCCCGCGCCCGCCAAAACGTCCATCAGACGACCTATCCCTTCTGGCAGAACGCCCTCCAAAACGGCACAAAACCCCCTTCAATCACTCCTACCTCGCTCTCCTAAACGCCGACATCATCGACGCTGCTTCTCGCTTTGTTCCCAACGGCACCGGCGAAAGCACCCAGTCACTGGCCTCTTCCCAAATCGGTTTGACCATCTGGACGCCCGCCGAAAAGGAACTCTTCTTTTCCGCCGTCTCCCGTCTCGGTCCTGACTCCGCTTCCGCCATCGCTGCCCGAATCCGCACCAAGAGCGAGCTGGAGGTTGCCGAGTATCTTGATGTCTTTCGTCAAACGATCAAGACCAGGCAGGACCCGAAGCTTGCGACCCCCGCGACATTGTTGCAGCCCGTGCCCCCCGCCGAGGTGCCAGCTGCTGTGGAGTTAAGTCAGCAGTGCTGTAATGCGCTGGAGGCGGCGGCGGATGCAGTTGCTACCAGGCAGGAGGCATGGGAGGAGGCAGAGGAGAGGAGCAAGTGGGGCGAGAATAAGTGGTTGATTGGGAAGGATAACGTGAAGGGATTGGAGATGGAGGCGAGAGCGCATAGGGAGAAGCAGAGGGAGAGGAGGCGGAGGGAAGAGAAAGGGAAGGGGAAGGACGTGGATAAAGGTGGGCATGCTGATGAAGAAGGGGAAGCGGTGGTCAAAACCAAGGAGGATGTCGACGAATTTGGCCAAAGGAAATTGCCCGCTCTCGACCTGTTCCGAGTCCGAAAGATGCTCGACCTCTCCGAGAACGTCTTCATGAACTCCACTGTCGACGACTACAACTGGAGCAACATGTCGGACGAACCGCCTGCCATTCGCGCGACCGCCCTCGAGGACTTGCATTCACTGGTAGTCTCGCTAACACGAAGGCTCGTGGCGGCAGTTCTTTACATCAGCGAATCACGCATCAAAGCTAAACGCGCCGTTCACCCCCTAACACGAAACTTGGTCTGGAGACATGATGTCAAAGCCGCAGTCCTTTCCCTGGGACTAAAAAAGAACAGTCATCAATTCTGGGCCGGCGTAGCAAGGAGGCTACGACTAGATGTCTACGGGGATGAAGACTACGATTACACGGAAGAACTGGAACGGAAAGAGGAAGACGGAATTGACGTAGACATGGAAATGATCCGCGACGAACCCGAACCAATGTCCTACGCCCAAGTCGAAGAAGCCCTTGGCCTCGAACCCGATAGCAACCGCTACAGCCATCCAGACTCCGACAACGAAGACGAACCAGAAGACGATAATCCCCAAAGCGAAGCTGAATCCCTAGCCTCCCTCTCCTCCACGCCCTCCCTCGACGACCACGACAACCTCGAGCATGTCCAAAACCCCGACGAACCCACTCAAAGCGGCGAACCAGACCCAATCGCTCCATCAAGCCCCGCCCCATCTGAACCTCATCATCATCAGCAAGCTGTCGACCCCGCCGAAGACTCAGCCATCAAGCTCGAAGCACGTGAACTGCTCCGCTACTCTGCTTTACCCATGGCCATCACCTCCCGCGCCCGCCAAGTTCTCTACGCTCGGATCCGCACGCAGCGCGCTCAGGAGGCGTACGCTGACGCGCTGGATATGCGGGCTAGTTACAAGGAAGAAAGGCGGATGTGGGAGTTACTTGAGCGGGAGCCGCCTGAGGGTTTAAAAAAGGTGCTGACTAAGGGTGAGATACCCGACGAGCCGGTGGCTACAGGGCGGTGGACGGGGGTTGACGAGCTGTTGGGGACGAGAGGGGTGGAGGTGGGGAGTTGGAGGGAGAAAGTTGCTGAAGGAGGATGTAGTGAGTGGGAGGTTGAGTGGCTGATGAGGCATTTGGAGGATAAGGATAACAATGAGCGGGAGAGTGGGAAATGATAGGCTGGCTCGGCTGGATGCTGGGTTAGGTTGGACGTGCTTGGCGATAGCTAGGCAAAACAACGTGTCCTACAGTAAGATGGAGGTGCAATGGAAAAGAAAGTTATCCTCAAACTTACTCAGGTTGCGGCTAGAGGTTCATGATTCGGAAATTTGGCCGAATATGTAAGCATACCGTTACGGTACTCCAGCATTTATGCTCGCCAAAGATTCTAATGTAAGACGGTGATGATCCTGAAGGCCCGCCCCCCACCCTCCAGCTTGCTGCCCTTGGTTACCTAAATGGGGGGAGTTGATTTTGCATTGTCCCCGGGCTCTTTGGCCGACTCCTCCTTTACCTTATTTTGGATGCAAGCCGAAGCCCTTGGTTAAATTGGAAGATGTGCTAAAAGTCTTTCATTGTACCGTGGTAGTGTCTTTCGGATAAATTTGGTACTAGTTGTATTATGTTTCTACTACAAAAAAAACACAATTCCTCGTCGACTGATAAAATAATCGAATCCTAACAGAAGGATGGACCCCGTACGTACTATGGATACATGCCTGTGTAACCAACACCATTCGAAGTTCCCTCTCCTACGGTCCTACCTACTCGGGGATCTGTCCCGCCAAGTGCACGCATCATCCACCTCTATAGGTGTAGGTAGGTAACCTTCCAAGTGTCCGTCCTTCCCAGTAACAACCCGCGTATGTAATCGGAAACCGTATTTTCCTCTCCGCCAAACACGTAGAGGTAGCCTGGAACCGCCATTGTCTTATACTAAAATACGTGCATGCATGCCCCGTTACCTTTTCCCGGCTTTCTTGTTATGTAGTTAGCGTACCTGGTGGAAAGAAGAGGAAGAGAGCAACATGATGTCGCGTAGTGTTAGGCAACTGGAAGCGAGCTCGTCCGTGCGTGCTTTTGAGGAAAATTGGTGATGTCCGGTCGGGCCGGGTGGGTTTGTTGGTCTGCTAACTACCTTAAGGCACGCTAGACGCGTGATGAGACGTTCCAGCTAAGCTTCTGGCGGCCGAGGTAGTTCTCAATAGCATGGCATGGCTCTGGATTTAATCCCTGTGGATTGAGTGTTTGTGTTAGTCGTAAGCCCCGAAGAGAAAAGAAACGAAAAAAAAAATCTGGTAGAGAGAGTATGCACTTACTTCGCCTTCCTTCTTGAGATGAGCCTTCGCCATCTTGCGCTTGATATCCCGGAACCATTCCGTCTTTTCCCAGATCTCGATATCCTCCGCACGCTCGAAATCGAGCCGGAAGGTAATCTTGTCCAACGACAGCCGGGTTCGTCGCGGACCCCATTCCACCGTGGTCGTGTCAAAAACACGCGGTCCTTCTAGTGCCAAATCGTATCGGCTCTGGTGAAAATACTCCTCCATTTTCGGCTTGCTAAGTTTATTTGGCTTTCCATCCTCTGCGACACCAGCACTCGAAAGCAGCCCGGAGTCCGTAAAAACAATCTCCAGCGTGCTAAGCTGTGGCGCAGTCGCCAGCCATCTCATGGTCTTGAGGTCGTAATAGTCGCCACGTCGCCGCCAATGCAAGCTGACGTGCCTGATGTTTTGGTGGATGAGATTGGACCTTAGGAGAATCTCCATAACCGCGTCGTCCATCCAGTCCAGGTAGTTACTGAGGCTGTAGTTACGCCGTCTGCAGACCAGCTGGGTCCGGTTGAAAAGGTCCGCGTATGCCTCGGCACGCATCTGACGACAGGTCTTCCACAGCAGGCCGATGGCACGGATCTGGCCCTTAGTGAACCTTTTGCCAATACCATCCACGGTCCAGGCGGCCTTCCAGATCATGAGCCTAACTTCTGCGGGGAGGTTGAGCAAGAGGGACTTGGTTATTTTGTTTGGTTGGCTTGATGAGAGTGCGGAAGACATGGCGAGAGAATTCTGAGACATGGTGAGGATTCTCGGCTGTAGTGGGAATGCTGAGGGGGGGGCGAAATCTAGGTTGAAGAATGGAAGATGTTAGTAAGATGCCTGGCTTGTATGGATCCGACAAGTTGGAGACTGCGGGCAGTACAGAGAAGGCCTCTACTGCCTCCGTACTGCCCCTAAAACGAGGCAGCACGAGATTTCTCCAAAAATATGCATCGTATATACGCAGTATGCCATTTGCGCCCCCTCTCCTTGAAAAAAGTGATCATACTGCCCTATACTACGCAGGAGAGTATGTATAATTCCTACTGCCCGCAACACGAATCAACAGGAATCGGCATCATACATATTCCTAACCTGGACGAGGCTATGCGAGGCTATCATGAGGGGGTCTGATTTCTATATTTATACTGCTTGTCAAGCAAAACGCAGGCTGTTTCCTACTGTGGCAGTACAGAAAAGGCAGCAAAGTACAGTTTATACTGTCCGCAGTCTAAGAACAACACAGCCTTAGAAAGAAATATTTTCGAAGCGTGCACAAGCCGGACAATGAATTGTGCGTCTGGTGAGTAGTAGATTGGTTAAGGGTGGTCAGGTGAAGAGTGGTCTGGTGAATGACGGCCAAGGTTTGAATAAGTGAACCGCTTCACCCGGTGAAGTCATGAGGATAAAGTCGTCTAAACTTCCACGTATTACTACTCGCCCCCTTGCACAGGTGAATGAATTATTTCTGGGAAGCCGTCACCGATACCATCTCTGAGCTGTACCGCATTGGCAACTGCCTTCACTTCGAGCTCGTACCTGCCAAGTCTTCGAACCTTTCTCCCCGACCTTCCTTGAATTTCGTCCTCAACTCCTGCCTTTACCTGCCTTCTCCCAAAATATTCCCCGCTGTTGAACCATTGTGGTTCCACTGCCTACCCCTTCTCATCCTTCGGTCTTCCATCACCGAAAAGTCTTTTTCTCGTTGCCACACCAACCGTGACCTCAACGCAGACCAAAGCATCGCTTGCGTTTGGGGCTGGAGTCACTTCCTCCTCCCATGATGGACTCCCATTCCGTATTCCCATTTTCTCGTCTTCCGGCTGAGCTCAGACTCAAGATCTACAAGTACGCCTGGACCGTTCCGGAGGAAAAATACATATACCGGTCCAAAACCTTCGGCAACATGAATGACGGTGACAGCCCCTGCGACGAGTACGACATCGACAGCGATTACGACGAGTACGACAGTGACGGCTACTACGCCGGCGAGCGTGACAACGACAACGCGTTGAGGCTCTCAGTTGCCTATGTAAGAGCTCAGCTTTCGGCAATCAGCAAGCTGGGCGCCATCAGCCAGCGCATCCGCGCAGTAGTTTATCCTGAGTACTTCGGTCACACGCAAATCCCGCTCCGTTACGATGCCGCTTGGAGCCTGGACGGTTGGATTTTTCCATGATGGCCCCGGCTGGGTCAGTCGCAAAAAAAGCGCGCTGTACATTCTCGGGGGTTCGTACCTGCTCCAGACCCAAGCGCGACACGTCTACCTGCACTGGCCCGCTCGTGCTAAACGCCGTACTTCTCATCCAACCCGCGTACTCGCGGACCAGGAAGAGCTGCTCAACGAGCAATGGGCTGTTGACTGTGTCTCGCTTCAAAAACCTGAGAAGCCTGGATGTTCACGTGGATGATGCTACCGACATTGGTCCCTTGACAGACATCCACTGGAATTACTACGTCAACCAGCTTGATCATGCCAATGTCGACAGTCCGGCTTATGATAGCAAGGAGGCAATCAGGCGTATGTTCTATGGCGAGGAGCGCCGCGCAAAGCTGATGGAGGGGCTGTTGAGACGCATCGTCGGAAGTTGGAGAAGGTGGTCGTGCGGACGGATGTTAGCAGCGCTGGAGTTGTTAAGCTGATGAATGAGCATGAGGCGTTTGAGTCGTGGCGTCAGCTCAAGGAGGACTTGGCAGTTTTGGTTGCTCAAGACGCTTCCAGCGCGGTACGTATACCTCAAAGATTAACCACTTGGCCTCTCAGCCCCTCTACATTCAGTTCTATATGTCTTGATGGAACGGCCAGCTAGTATGTTCACGTACAATCTCCCTACGAAGGCGAAACAGAGAAAATATATGTGTTCAAGCAACACATCGGCGGCCTCTTCAACCTTTGTTGGCAGACGGACCCATACGATTACAGACCACACGAACGACAGTCCGCAGGTGATGAAAGATGTTGAGAGGTAGAAGACTAATGTATTGCGCGACGGTACTTGGCAAGAGGGTGATTCTGGATGGTGTTAAGATATGTACAATTTGAGGCGATTCTAGCCCAGACAAGTGTGGCCATTCGTTTACATTGATCCAGCACGAACTACAAAATCAGAAAACGACATCGAATTTACAAGCTCTCCGGGCGAAGACATGTTCTCTCTGTCCCTTTTCTTTACTTCTGTTGCAATTGCTTTTCAGAAAAGTACCTCCCGAGAGAGGACAAAGCGAGATCCTGGGATCATGGTTGTCATGATCAGCATTCTGTTGTATGTAAAGGGAGTCGTAAGGCAAGGGAAAATCCATAAGAATCTTCAAACGCTCGCTGTTCTCTTATGCTGTCGAAATGTTCAGGAAATGCCAGCATTCATTTTCAATTTATTTTGTCCTGCTCCTCCTCCCGGCTCCCGCTTCCACTTCTACTACCGACCAGCTTCAAACTTGCCAAACCACCACGAACACTACCAGCTAGTAAAAGGTGTACATCTGGACCCTACGGACACATGTACTAACAATCATGAAATAAACGGCGCCATAGGGTGATAATATTAAGGGTTTTCTTCGGAGTGTCTTTGGAGTGTTTTTGGATCGATGGAGGACTCGTTATTTTCGGCAGACCTGCCGCAAAAGTGGGTCAGTCCATTCACTCACCATGGGTGGCGGTTTAAAATACCACCAAAAATAAAATGCAGGTGAACAGACATCCGCTGCGAATAGAACCACCCAGTCAATGAGAGGCGCGGTGAGAGGAGCCCATGCCATGAGATTCCCAAAGGCTGCAACAAGGTTTACGTTGAGAGGTGGTGAAGGGCAAGGGGCGAAGTTTGTATAGAAGTCCTGAAGTCAGCCGCAGAGGAGGAAAACTCGGGTTACCCGCCCAGTGCTCGATAAAAACTTCAAACGATATACAGAAACGCAAAACGACATTGCCCGTTCAAATCCTCAACACCATTCCATCTCCCAGCCATCCATCTACAACCCACTCCCAAAAACCTCATCCTTCTTCATCTTCCGATCCCACACCACATTTCCATCACTCCTCCGCTTGAAGTACACAATCCGATGTTGCGGGATGAATTCCTCATCCGTCTGCTCCGTCTTCCACATATCCAGCGCCCTCTCCTTCACTCCCAGGAACCGGTCCTCGTAGCCCACCACGTACTCCGAGCTATCGATGGCCGAGTCCCAGCGGAGTCTGTTCATCACGTCCGCTGCCGAGCGGAGTTTTGGGCCTGGATCTTGTCTCGGCGGCTGCTGCTGGTCTTCTGTGGTTTTCTTGTTCTTGCCTTTCTTCTTCTTGGGTGTAGCTTCGTCGAGGTCTTCCAAAAAAGAAGCGTCTTCCTCCTCGTCATCCTCGGCGTCGGAGTCTGACTCGTCTTCGCCGGGGGTATACTCGCCTACCCAGTCGTTGCGAGTGTCCAGTTGAAGATTGCCGAGCTCAGAGCGCCTGACCACGCTTGCGCTCATCCAGCTGTTGGAGGCGTCAAAGTACTTCTCGTCTGACCGGATGGCTTCTTCAAAGCGTTGAAGGGCGGTTTGAATGCTGCCGAGAGCGAGTTTGAGGTCCTCTTTGCTGGTGCTAATGTCGGCGTCCAGGCCGAGGAGGTAGGAGGCTTGGTAGTCGCGGGGTCCGGTTCCTTCCGTGGCTGTTTGCTCGTCGGCTTCGGCTTGTTGAGAGGCCATGTCGGCCTCAACAAACCGAGCAGGCCACATCCTGACATACACCCCCGGTGCTCTCCTGTGAAGATCAACAAGAAGCATCACCAGCCGACTCTCCAACCAACCCACAAACTGCGCTCCCCTTGACGGCGACAGTCCCCAATACTGCACATCAACCTTGACATAACTCTTGTACCCCGTCAAGAACTCCTCCGCAGCGCTACTTCCCTCCAAAAATTCCTTCCAGCTCCTCACCTCTTCCTTCACCAGCTGATCCCTTGCCCGCTCAAACTCCTCCTTCAGCGTCCTAACGCTCCAAACACTCGCCTGTCCACTCGTATTTAGTCCCGGACCAAACCACCCAAGCACAACCATCGCCTCCCTACTCGTCCGTCTATACACCTCCTTCTCCCCTCCCTTCTCCCGCTTCTGCCTGAACCAAGGACAAACCTCATCGTAGACCATATCCCTCCCCCAGTGAAACCGAGCATATTCCTCAAAGAAGCTGGCCACCAACTCCTCCACTCCCACCCGTGTCACCCCCTGCGTGAGCGCAAGAGCCTTATAGACCCTCGCCAGCATCACCGAGATCTGGATACCACCTAGATACCCAAACCGCTGGGCATACACACCCCTTGCTTTAGCCCAGCTTCTTACTGCCCTATGCGCCGTCCTAAACACCGCCAAGTCAGGCACCGTCCGGCGCAAATAATCCAAGTCCCTCGCGGCTTTGAGTTTCGTCAGCGTCAACGCCGGTAAGCTCCAGACGGCGTTTCCAGGCGGGGCAGTAGACAGAATGCGAGGCCAGTTGGACGCAATGTGTGCTGCTGGACAGTACTGCAGGTCGAATTTGATTTGATTGACAGAAAGCTCGAGCATGGTGCCTGTTGAGGAGTAGATGCGCCGGAGGATTTTGGGTTGGTATGAGGAAAAGAGAGGAGACGACGAAGCGCGCCGGAGACGTTGGATGGCGAGGGAGAAGAAGGTGTTGGTGGAGAAGGGGCCGATGGCTAGGACGTCGATGTCTGAAGAGGAGGTGTGGACGCCTAGAGCAAAGGAGCCAACGGGGGTTATGATGAGGGGTGGTTGGTTTGATCGGGCTTGGGTTTCCGAGGCGGTAGTAGTGTCGGTGACCGCTTGGGGATATTGATTGGGAGGAGGGTTGTCGAGGAGGATGATCTTGAGCGCGTGGAAAGCAGCTTTGCGTTTGGATATCTCTTCATGCGAAGGGAAGATGTTGAGTTCGGCCATAGCCTCTGTCAGCGATCCCGGCTCGGAGAGAGGACCGGCGGGTGGTGTGATTAGCTTGATAGACGTTTTCAGAGCCAGCAACACCACTCTGTTCCTCGGCTGTCTTCTCAGTTTGATCAATATCATCCTGCTGAACAACCTTCAAAAGACACCTAACACCCCAGTGATCACTCGCATACTGTCCCATCTCATGCCCTTCCCTCTTTTCCTGATCAGCCTTGACAAACCCAAAGCGATTAAACCTACCGATCCTCAACACTTGTTGACCCCTGACCAAAATTCGGTCATACCTCTGCGGCCGCATGTTTCCTCCACTGCCTACCACCTTGGCCGCGACATCATTCCTCATCGGATCATAGGTTGCTCCTTGCTCGCCGGCAAACAGCCTGTTATCTTCCCCTTCCTCGTCCATGTCATCCATGATGTCCTCCTCTTTTTGAACCAGGCCCTCGCCCAAAGCAGCTCTCCCAACTACCCACGCATCCTCCACCCCAAGACCCTCTTCCTCCTTCCATGTCCTCTCGATAACATTGAGTGTGACCACTGTTTCTCGGGAAATCTTCCCAGCTTTCACAGCTTGCTCAACAGTCCAGCTTGAGGATGTAAGGTTGAAGTCCCCAGCAACTACCCACGGGTTCTGCGGAAAGTTCTCCTTAAGATGCCCAATCACCCGTTGGATCTCCCCCTTCTTGGCAGCAACAGTCATATCTGTAAGTCCATGGCTCAGATGCACTGCCGCCAGCACGAGGGGCCGATCAGGGTCATTTCCATGAATGGTAGGAAATTGGGCAATGACGGACCCCTTGTGTTTCCTAGCAAAAGAAAGCCAAGACCAAGAGAAGGGGTGTTTGGACAGGATGACTTGGTTGAGGAAGTTAGGGAGGGGAGATGCGTCTGGCTGAGAGGGGGGCGGATGGGAAACGTAGGGGTAGTGGTCTCGGAGTAGTTGGGATTCGGTAGAGTTGTTGGACGGGGAAAGGAGGAAGGAAAGGAACGAGTCGGTGACTTCTTGCAGAAGAAGGATATCTGCTTTGGAGTCGGCTGAGAGAAGGTTGCGAAGGATGAGGCGGTATCGAGCTTCTTGGTCGGTGTTTGAAGAAGGAGAATGTTCGAAATCAGCGAGGACGTTCCAGGAGGCTATGCTTAGTAGCTCTGGCGTCTTTGCCTCTTCCCCTTCCTTTCCCTCTCCTTCCCGTTCCTCTCCATCCTCACCATCGTAAGGGACCCAAACTGACCTCCCCTCCTCAAACCTCCACGCCTTCTTTACCTCCTCTTCCTCCCATTTCAGTCCTTCCGCCTCAAACACCTTCTCCCACTCAACCGGGCTTCCATACATCTCACTCCCCAACTCCTCTCCTAACCGCATCTTACCCCAAACCTTCATTTCCCTTTTCCCGGGCCATCACTCTGATCCCTAACCAGCATCCATACCTCCTCAACCTCCCACTCCACCATCGGCAGCAATCCCATTTTTTCCACCAGGAATTTGTGCGCCGACGACTCTCGATCCTCAGACTGCGCAATAGTCAAGTGCGGTTGATAATCTCCGGCCTGGGCCTGGTGCCCCAGCACCTTCAAGATATCCGCCCTCAACTGCACCAAGCTACCCAGAGACCCGGGTTGCTGCTGCTCTTGATCATAGCGGTAGATAGTGTTGTGCTTGCGATGCTCAAAAACCCCAACACTATCCATCCTCACCCTGGCCCGATCCTCCTCGCAAACCGGGCCCCCACACCCTTCATCCAACACCGATCCATTTCGGCCATGTACCACCTCCCCGTCTGGTCCCGTCCATGCCTTTTTCACGGAATCCCACTTGATTCCCCTCATCTCATTCCTCTCCCTCCTCGCCTCCAAAATGCCAAATGGAACCAGACTCGCCGCATCTTGCAGGTCTTCGGGTGAAACGAAGGGATAGATGAGGTTGATGTGTGGCGGCCATTTGTGGTAGGCTTTGTCGTAGAGGGCACGAAGGGAGTTGATAGGCCCCCAAAGGTGGGGAGGGGGGATTATAGCGAGGGCTGTATCGTGGCTGTTGAGGGGAGGGGTCCAGGGTGGTGGTTTCGAATCCGATGGGGATTCTTGAGGGGCGAGAGAAGGGTTTGTGGACGCCATTTTTGGAGTGTTGATGCTGATTTGATGATCGTTGAGGTTTTGATGGGTTTGGTCGTTTGGTGTTTGGGGATTGCGTTGTCGACGTTGTTGATGGAAACAGCAGGGTAGGCAACAATTGGCGCTTGCTGTCTTCGTTTGCTGTGCAGGCAAGGGGAAACCAGCTGATTGATATACCATCCAAGATCTCACTGGCAAACAGAGAATATCGGTCTTATATCAACAAATGCCTTCCCTGCCGCCGTCAGCTCTGGTAAGACTATTTCCTCCATCTCCAACCCCGCACCCGCAGTGCTTACTCCTCTTCCCCCGGCAGTGGACATCACACAGCCTACCTCAGCTGGACCGTCTTTTCAGTCAATGAAATCAGCACAATGGAGCGATCAACGGATTCACCGAGTAATTGACTCTTTCGGCATACTTGGACCCTGGGGAAGATTTTGAAAGTGTCTCCAAACAAAACCCATGTTATACAGGGAAATGGACCTGGTCAGTCAGGCCGAGTGACTCACAAAGACTGGGTTTGCTTGGCACTTGTGGATGGCCTCCTGGGCGTGGAGTGTTCAACGACGGATGTATGGCAAAAGATGGAGACACCAAAAGGGTTGGCAGAAGCGATGGATTTGGATGAGAGATGAAGCGACTGCTCCAAATGCACGGGGGATCCAGATTTGCTTCGTTTTCTATCGTGCCCGACCAGGCCCCCAATATGAGCCTTCGTCTTAACACTGCAGGGTGCATCCGTCGGTCCCGACACCCAAGTAAAAAGTACTTGCTTTTTTGTGTTTACGGTTGCATTGTAGCGGAAATTGTTAGTGTATGCTTTGCCACAGTGCTTGCCTCCCGAGCCTCCGCTCTGCGGCTTTGCTCGGTTCGGCTCCACTGTTCACGACAACTTCATTTCGTTTCAGGGCAGCAACACTCCCGTCACTTCCAGCTTTTTGCCTGTCATCTCTCTGACTTAGGCGGGTCCTCACTCCTTTCAAATTCATCCTCGTAACACAGCACGATTGTTACCCTAGCGGTTACCAGCAAGATGTTTACCTTGTTACGAACAACCCGTCAACCCATCCACCACCTCTCGTCGCTTCCCCGAGCCCTCCTCCCCATCAATATCATAGCCACCAAACGTCTCCTCTGCTCCCGCTACAAACCTCACATCACCACTCCCATCACCACTCCCATCTGCTCCCACTACAAACCTCCCATCACTACTCCCATCACTACAACTACAACACCTCGACACAACCCCTTCACAAAGTCACACCACTCTCAAAAGAGACACCTCCACCTAGCACCCCCCTTCCTCCTTGACTCCTACGTCCCGCGCTACCTCCAACTCTCTGAAATCGACGCATCCAAAAAGCGATCGCAAGCTTATGCCCATCTGGCCAAATGCAACTTGTGTCCGAGGAAGTGCGACGTGAACAGGTTCGAGAAGACGGGGTGGTGTTTGATTGGGGACAAGGTGAAAGTTAATGTTATTGCGCCGCATTTTGGGGAAGGTGAGTCTTTTTCGTGATTTATTTTGTGGTGGTTGATGATGCTGCCACTTGAAAGCTGCCTTTCGATCAAGCTGCCTGCCACTTAGCGAGGAGTCGTGGGAATTGATTCTGGGAATTGGTGCTCGGGTGCGATGGAGTTGTGAGGTTACATGATGCTTTTTAGGGATTTTGGAAACGCTTGGGAAGGGTGATAAGGCGGGGTGTTGTTTGTCTGACGTTTGGGGTGTCAGGGACCGGAAGGTTTAGAGGCAAATACGGATGGAGTTGCGGTTCAGAAGAAAGATGAGTGTGGTCAGTCCGTTGGGATTGTTCCTCACATCTACACGTACTGTGGCGGCAGCAAGGGCGGGCTTCCATGTGGGTGATTGGGGGTTAAACGAGGGGGGGGGGGCACAACCGCAAGGGATAGAAGAAGGCGGTTCGGGGCACCCTCAAAGAGGAGGGATTGACAACTGCCATCGGATGGGATTATCCGTGCTGGTGTTGATGAAAGAAGGGGTTCTTTCTTCCAAAGTTCGATCCCGGCACGGTGGCTTGCTTCCTCAGCATCATCATGTAAGGGACGGGAAAATCGATTGAAGTCTGGATTATTGACTGGAAATCACTCGTGATGAACAGAACCATGCATTCAGGGTCATCATGGCAGTGGTTCGGTTTTCTTCAGGTGAGTTTACCTACTGTTACTTCATCGACTAGTGAGTGTCAAGAGAAGTAACATTGTATGGGAATCTGGGACTGACTACGATTGCTATGGATTGAATGAAGCATGTGCAACCTCCGCTGCGTCTTCTGTCAAAACCACGACATCTCTCACCAACGAAACGGCATGGACTTGACCCCTGAAGAGCTAGGTGACTGGTACCTCAAGCTGCAAGATGTCGGGAATGTGCACAACATCAACCTTGTTACCCCTGAACAGTGAGTTCTCGTCACCTTCCGCCCCCCAGAAACTGCCCCCCAGATTTGGGATCTCGTATCAATCTATCTACGCACTACCGAGGCCGGTTATAGTCCCGTTCCCGGGTGACACGCGGATGACAACACGGCACGGTAAATCAAAACAAAGACTAACATCTTTCAACAAAGCGTCGTCCCCCAAGTAGCCCTCTCAATCCTGCACGCGCGCTCCCAAGGCCTGCGCATCCCCATTATCTACAATACCTCCTCCTACGACTCTCTCGAGTCCCTCGCTCTCCTCGATGGGCTGATAGACATTTACCTGCCCGACTTCAAAGTCTGGTCACCCTCTACTTCCAAACGCCTCCTAAAAGCAGACGACTACGCCGCCACGGCGCGCGAGTCCATCAAGGCTATGCATGCGCAAGTGGGCGATCTGTGTTTTACCGGTGACGGGATTGCGAAGAGCGGGGTTCTGTTGAGACATCTTGTGATGCCTGGCCTTGAAGAAGAGGGGAAGGAGATTATGAGGTGGTTGGCACAGAACGTGAGTAGGGATTTGTTTGTTAATATTATGGAGCAGTATCGGCCGGCTGCTTATGTGGGGAGGGTGAAGAGGAGTAGTGGTGGTAAGAAGAAGGTGGATGGAGAGGGTGAAGAAGAAGGAGAGGCAGCGGCTGGGGAGAAAGATGAAGGCAAGAAGGAAGAAAGACGCTATGCCGAGATCAATCGGGCTGTGAAAGAGGAGGAGGTGGAGAGTGTGAGGAAGGCGGCGGAGAGAGCTGGGCTGTGGAGGTTTTGTGATCCGCCTAGGCATGATGGGTTTAACATCTAGACTAGACTGATTGCTTGACTGCTTGACTAAGCTTTTCACTATCACTTGATTCCTCCCTTTGAACATAGAAGGCTGGAGAGTGGGTGTAAGATTGCTATTCTCTGTTAGTTTCCTTGTAGAATTGTCTTACTTGCACGTGGATCATGGGCCGGTGTATGGGGGGCATCACGAGCATAAACGACATTAACATTCCTTCGGCTCCGAAATGGGCATCTTCCGGAGTCAGGTCCGGAAGTCCAAAGATCGCCTCACCGAGAGAGAAATTTGAATTAGGGAATCAGGGCCGAGCAAACATAAAGCGGCGACTCCTCAGGACCTCGTGTGTCAAGCCTCACGGCACCACGGTGCCTCCTCACTGGCCTAATTCTGGCTGACGGATGTGTTTGTCTGGCTCTTGACGGCCCTGACATAAAAAGGGCAAAGGGCCTCCTCTGTCTCGGGTATTTTTCCCGATTGGGGGTCAGCCACCAAGTTCCCTTTCTTTGGGAGCATGTCAAGCCACCGCACGAGGGCGTCAGTGTGTTTCTTTGTTTACCTTTTGCAACCCTAACCTCGTTCAGAATAAAAGGGGGGCTTTTTCCCTAACTCACTACAGTACACTAGCCGGGCAAACGCCACTCCCTCTTTCTCTCTCTCTTTCCAGGGTGTGTACGGTAGATAGCCACCAAGAAGGAGCTTGCCTGACCCGGCAAGCAAAAACGCCCCCCTTGTCCTTGGAGTTCCAATGGAGAACTAAGAAACTTCCCAGGAGTGTGATAAGTCGGGTATTGTTCCAAGAAAACCCATGCTTGCTTGGCCAGGCGAGTCGCCCATGTGTTGACGGGCCAAGTCTCAAGGGGGCTTTGTCAAGCAACACCCGACGCGGCTGGGTCTGGAAGCCACGAGGTTCGTTCGAAAAAGCCGGGCTCGAACTTAGACCTGCCATGGCGGCTTTTCCGGTGCCCAAGTAATGGGTTGGCTTGGATTGGATCAATGAGCCATAATGAAATCATTACCGAGCAGCAGCAGCCAGGATTCCATTTGAATCGAGGAATGGAAGGGGGGGAAAGGGTTGAACGAGGCGATGGGCGCGTATGGCAAGCCGGGCGGGCTTTGATATATCTCCAGCTTAAGGAAGCCTCTCTGTCGTCTCATGGCCATTGATTGAGGGGCATCTATCCATCTGCGTGAAGATCTTGACTTTGCTTTGCTCGAGTTGATATCTATCCATAAACTGGGATCAGTTCCTGGAGAAAGTCGCGCAAGATCGTTACTCACTCACTCACTCCCGTCCACTTTCTTCAACCTATTCCATTGTCTGTCTGTTCAAGGTCGTTCCTCTACCTTTGCCCTCGTTCCTTGTCACACATACATACCACAAAGATGTCATTTTCAGTTACCAGCAGCCATGGAGGACCACAAGTAACCCTAGTAAACGGAAGATCACCAAGCCCAACCATGTCGACGACAACCACTCTCTCACCACCCAGCCCCGTCATTGGAGGAGGAGGCGGAGGAGGAGGAAAGCATCACCATCACACAAATATCATCTCCCCTGACGAAATGGCAGACGTCAAGTCCAAGATCGAGAAGCTCGCCAATGAGCTAAAGCAGCAGCAAAAGCAGCAGCGATGTCGTCAGCAATCAATCAACAACACCAACAACACCAACACTCGTCCAATCCTCCCCCACTTAAACACCGATAGCATCACCACCACTCTCAAAAAATCATACCTGCTGCCTTATCCCCCTTCTCCCGAGCTAAAAGCCACCAGCTCCAGCTCCAGCAACAGCAAAACCACCAATATGCCCATCATCCTCCATCCACCCCTGCCATACCAGGCCTCGAACCAACCTCCCGCTCCCTCTCCGACCTCTACAACGAGCGTTCCTACCTTTTGCATAACTTGCAAACCCAAGGCGAGCGAGCCACGCGGTTATATCAGCGGTATGCGCACTTGGAAGCTAAGAAGGAGGCCTTATCTTTGGCTTCCTTGACCACAACCACCATCACCACTCCCTCTGCGGCCAGTTCTGCTGGTTCTACTGCTGGTTCCCCCTTGAACGAGGAGAAGACGGGATCGACTGCAACAACAACTACTTCTTCGACAAGCAGCAAGAAAAAGAAAATAAAAAAAGACCTCTCCCTCCTCCGCTCTCGCATCGCAAAGTCCACGCAGCAGGAACAGCTCATCATGCTGAGACTTGGAGAAAGTCATGTTGAGCTGGTGAATAGGGGGCGGTGGGTTATGACGCACCAGTGTCAGAGTCAACAACAACAACAGTTGGTATATTCGCCCATGTCTGCTGTTGTTGAAGATCAGGGATATTTTGGGCATCATCATCATCAGTGGCAGCAACATGAACATGGAGGCTATGAAGTTCCTGCTACTCCGGCGTCTGCTGATTCGTATTCGAATTCGCCGGTGGGAGAGCAGCATGGGGAATATCTCTATACTCCGTCGGTATTGAGCCCGTTGTCGCCGAGTTTTGTTCCTGGTGGCTTTGGTGGGGGAGGAGTTAGTTTCTTTGATGAGGATATTTGGACTCGCCCGTCAGAGCAGTCACAGCAATCGCAGTCGGAGGACCATCAGCCAGCTCCTGAAACATATAAACCTGCCTTCGAACAGGAGCCATCACACCAAGAAGAAGATGAGAAAACTCCCAAGCCCAACAAGGACCATGACTTGGAAGCCGTTCCCCTCTCGGCAGTCACTCCCAAGTTCACCACCACCCCCAAGTTCACCACAACCACCAGCAGCATCCCAGAGACACTCCCCTCCGAACACCTCGCCACCCCCATCACCCCCAGCAACAGGATCCCATGGGATGAATACCCTTCGGATTCGGAAGACGATGGATCTTTTGACAGTTTTGACGGGAGCAGTTTCATGCCTATTGGCGTTACTGTGATGAATCCACTGGCTTGCACGAATCGTCACTCTGTTAACAGTTCGGGCTTGGGTTTGGGGACAAGTTCGGGGTCGGGGTCTGGAATTATCGTGTCCATGTCTGAGCCCGAGGAGGAACATGACCATGAACATGAACAATATGAGAAAGAGCAAGATGAAGAATACGACGAAGAAGAAGAAGAAGCAGAAGCAGAAGGAAGTGACGACTCCGCCTCTGAACCAGGCGATTTACTTTCCGAGCAGCAGAGGAAGACTGCTTCGTTTTCAAGGGGGGAAGAGGGCAGCGAGGAGTGGAAGGGAAGTAGAAGGTTGAGCATGCCTAGCTTGAAGAATCTGTGGCCTGTTGCGCTTGCGGCTGTTGTTGGTGTTCAGATGGGGTTTAGGGAGGGGGCGGAAGAAGAGGAGGAGGAAAAAGAAGAGGTACCGGCGATGAGGCTTGATACTGTTATTTGAGCTGTCCTGTTCATTATTTCTTCTGCTTTGCTCTGGATTCTTGGAGAGGTCTTCTTTTTTGCATTCTACGGTGGACATTGGCGGCGGAGTTTACTTGGTATGACACTGACGCAGGTTTTCATCAGCTACTAGGGAAAGAGGACAATGGCGTTATATGGGAGATGAGGTATGCTTGAGATGGGGACTTTCGGACTTACTTGATGATGTTATAGGCATTGAACAGTGGAGGCCTGGGAGTCGGTCAACATGTTTCTGCACAAAAACATCAAAATAGCGGGAAGCTGGAAGCTGGAATATTAGAGCCAGCTTGGGCCTTCATATGATTAGGTATATTAACTCTGTGTGTAATTGTACGCTTATAGTAACAAGCCCTTCTGGTGACTGAGGTCGTGTGGCCGTTTCCTGTCCGTCGTTGAAATCCTGTATGATGATGATGGTGATATATGCGCCGTGTATCCTGCTCGGTTGCTTGCTTGCTTGCTTGCTTCTCTGGAAATCCAACCCCATCCAGATATTTCGGTCTTTCCATTTTCCTTCCTTGCTTTATAACTTCATTTCTTATTCAAACATGCCGTTTGGGCCATCGTCGAACCCTAACTCCTGCGCAGATGGTTGTCTCCTGTGCCCACCACGTCCACTGCTAGGCGGCGGTGGCAAGAAAGCCGCTCCACCTCCAAAGCCACCTCCAGCCGACGATGATGATGGAGGAGGAGGGAGTGAAAAGGCCGACAGAGGAGTGTGTGAATCACTATCCAAGTCTGTCGACAAAGGGCGTTCTTGTCTCGATCTCCTCCCGAACTTGGTTCCGCTCAAGTTCACAGTAATAGTCTCGCCCTCTTTCAGGCTATAATCCTTCTTCTCCTCGGCCTCCTGATTTTTGGTAGACTTGATCAGGGGCGCGACGCCCTCAATCAGGCCTAGCGACTTTTGCGCCTCCTGCAGGGCCACGCCGAAATCGAAGGCCTCGCTGCGCTCCTCGAAGCCGATGCCCAACATGGCCTTCTTCCCGCTGTTGGGATCCTGCACACGCAGGGCAAAGAAGCGGCTGCTGTCGATGGTGGCCTCGACGACGGCCTGGGTGGTGTAGGGGGCGGCGGCAATCAGGTCGTTTGTGGCGGGGTCCTCGAGCACAATGTCGACCTTCATCGTGTCCTTCTCTTGCATCTTCTCGGGCGTCTGCGGCGGGATCGAGGTCTCGATGATGCGCACTCGGCCGGTGAAGATGTGGGCTTTGGGGTCGGCAGTCCAGTCGGCAGCCATGTGGCCCTTGGTCGAGCGCATAGGGGGGATCTGGTAGATATGGACCGACGAGTTGGTGATGTGGAGGATGCGCTGGATGGCGTCGGCGGGGAGGGGGGCCTGCGTGGCCGGATCCATGAGGGTCGTCATGGTGTTATTGTTTATTGTCTTGATATTGTATTTCGAAAAAGGTGCTATGTCGGCAACTTGTAGTCGACATTCATCAAGTCAAGGGAGAAAGTGGAAGAAGAGACCAAAGAAGCCAACATCGCCAACGGGTCCATCACCTAGAACTAGTTTCAAATGATAAAGAAAGAGGACAATGACGGTAAAGGATCCTCCGCTAGACCCCTACGCTAGCTTCACACTTTCCCCTTGCTGCCCCTGTTTCATTGAAGCCGACAGCGGGACGGCAGCCAGGCATCAGCCCCATCGCTCCATCCACGCGACCCAGGCCCTCACTCACATGTTTAACTCAGTGCCGAACACAGGGGAGACTCTTCTGTCACCTCTTGTGTTCCAGCGCTGTAAAGCCCGTGACCGCAACAAGCCAGCAACAACCCCGCTGGTAGCAGCTGCCGACAGTGAGCGGGGCACATGAACTGGAAACAAAGAAAGCTTGACGAGGTGCAGTACAGTACACATTGAGGGCGGTGAGTGATGGCAGAATACTTGTCGTACCGGCCGCAATTGGGAATTTGGGATGAAAGGTTACATGAAGAGCTGCACATCTTGAGTCACACTTTCTGATCAGACGTCTCTTCAAAATATACTTCCACATATTCTTTCAACCTGTATAGTAAATATCATTGTAAAAGCCAAGGACTGGTTTCCCCAAATCTTTGAAGCGCCTATTAAAGCTCTCTTCGAGACTTCGACTAACACCCCGAACCCTCCCCACTTGGACCACCGAACTGCAGCAGCAGTGCTTCTTGGGAGGACTTGTATGTTTTGGCGAAAACCACTTCCCACCTTCACAGCATCAACACACTTTGTCGTCCACAACCCCCTCCTCGTCAGAATGGCCACCGACGACCTAACCAACAAGCCGCTCGCGGTACGGACGACATCGTCCACCTCCACCGACAGCGTCAGCAGTCAAGATGGCGCCTCATTCGAGTGAGTTTGCTCTTGTTTTGCTTTGCTTTGCTTGCATGCGTCATAACCAAACTTGAACAGCTCTTCCGTCGCAAACCACAATCACCAACCGTAACTGACCATGGCAAACACAAAAACAGCATCGTAAAAACCTACCGCGAACTCCTCACCTCCGACCCCGACATGACCATGCCTGTAGCAGCCATAGAATCGCTCATCGAGCTTTTACGCGTAACCCCGTCCTCGACCGCCATGGAAACCGTCGAAGTCGTCAAGATGCAAAAGGCCCGCCTGCTCGACTCGGCGCCCAACCCGCTCCCCTTGCTGGCGGGCGCCGATCTCTTCGAGCAGTATCTCCTGCGGTCGCTTAGAGGGCAGACCGCCGAGTCGTTCGACGAGACCAAGCGCCACCTGCTCAAGAACCGGCAGCTGTTCGCCGCGCGTGCCAAGGCCGCCCGCGACAACATCGCCGTCATCGGGAGCAAGTACGTTTCCCACCGCAAGATCGTTCTGGCGGCCGGCGGCTCGCGCGTCGTCACCAAGATCCTCGTGCACGCTGCTGCCAGCAGGCCGGATACCCACTTCAAGATCATCTATGTGATGGACGGCAGCCCGCACTGCGACGCCAGCGTTACCGCCCTCCGCGAAGCCGGGCTCGAGGTCGAGACCATTTCCACCAGCAAAGTCGCGTACATCCTCAAAGACCAGAAGGACATCAACCTCGTGCTGGTCGGGTCCGAAGTGGTGATGCAAAACGGCGGCATCATCAGCCGCATGGGCACCTCGCAGCTGGCACTACTCACGCGGTTCGCGGGTGGTTCGCAGAAGCGCTTCTTCGTGGCGGCTGAGAGTCACAAGATTGTGCGCAAGACGCCCCTCTGGCATCCCCAGGTTTTGCGCGTGGGCGTCAAGCAGAAGGATATCAGCAAGTTTGCCAACGTGGGCGTGGACCCGGTCGGCCAGGAGGCGAGGGATTGGGTCGCAGATCGCGATGAGGTGGATTATACCGATCCGGAGCTGATTGATGGGATTGTGACGGAGCAGGGCGTCAAGCAGCCGAGTCAGATTTGGGAGTTGGTTGATTATGAGAAGTGAGAAGTGAGGTGCTCGCTTGTTGAGGTTGAAAGGTGGAAGGGATTAGGAAGGAAGGGTGGGTGACAAAAAGGGCGGTTTTACGGTTCGAATCGTTCGACTCTTCAAGTTCTTGGTGTGGTTATTACTGTTGTTAAACGATATCTTTGCAGCATTATTAGGCGTTCTTTTTTGTTAGGGAAACAACAATGGGATGGATGGGGCATACGATATCTTCTGAGCTTTTTTGAGGGCTTTATGTGTTCAGGACACTGTTAAGGCCCGGGCAGGGAATGTGGTAGATATGTGAATTGGAAAAATGGAAGGACGTCTCTAGAGTATTCATGTTTAAAAACTGGGCCACCTTGATACCCGACGTGCTTGTAATACCTAGACTATTGACCAGAAAACACATGGACATTGACACACAATTTAGGCACTGCAAAGTGTCATGGTAAATGCAAAAGTACATTGCTATGATATGATATAATTATCCAAAACTTCCTAAAAGCCAAAAAACGAAACATCCAAAAAAAGATAGTGTCTATGCTACTATGTCCATTAATATTTTTTTCAACCACACCAACGATAAGTATCCAAAAGCCAACCTATCCATCCATCCAAACAAACTTTCAATAACTTCAATACCCGGCATCCATTATGACATGAATCAGGTTTCGCTCCGTCCGTAAAGTACGTAACGTCAGATTACATGTTCCACACTTCACATGTTCGCCAACTCATTATCAATCTGCCTGTCCATAAACGTCCTCCTTTCGCCAACCAACTCTGTCTGCAACCGCTGCTCCACCAGGGCGCGCACCTGCTTCTTCGTCACCGTGTCCAGATCAACCTCGCGAAGCACGCCCTGGATGGCCTCGATAATCATCTGGTCATCAGGGCCGGGAGTGCTGCGCTGGAAGTCAAACGACGGCGAGCTCTCCGAGTGGCTCATGCCAGGACGGTGTCCGGGAATACCGAGGCTCATGCCCGTGGCCGTGGACAGACGGGGGTTGACCATGCCGCCAGGACCGAGAGCAGGAGGGGTGTTGGTCATAGAGCGCATGGCGAGTTGGCTTGGACCGCGGCTGGGACCACCAGGGTAGTCCTGATACGGGCTGGCGCGGCGCTGCATCTCGCCCATGGTGCCCATCGACGCCATGCTCTGGCGGTTCATGAGATTGTTGTTCTGCTCGGTGAAGGGGGAGGCGCCGACAAAGGTGCTGGCACGGGTCATGGCACCACTGCCGCCGCCGTTGGGAGCAAAACCGGGGCTGTGAGGGGGCATGTACGCTCCGGCACCGCGACCGCCGAACCCAGTAAGAACGGACGGCTGGCGGACCGAAGAGTAGACCGACTTCATGTCATCAACCTCGTACGTCTCCTCGTACATACCGCCCAGGTGCTCATCCATACCCTTCTCAAGAGGGCCACCGCGACGACCAGGGAGGTTGTTGTGAAGAGCGTAGTCGTCCCAGCGCTGAAGAGGAATGGCACGGGGGTCAAAAGTCTCCTGGTCGACAGCGACAACTTGCTTCTTACCGGTTTCACCAATGACAACGCGGGTATTACCCCAGGCGAAATCATCCTGATGCCAGAACGAGTAGATGGGGAGGATGAAGGAGTAGATGGGGAAGGCGAGAATGTAGATGATCATCCAGCCCACATGCTGCCATTGACGCTTGAGGATGAAGATGAGCGCCTGGAGACCATACACAGCCGCAATCATGATAATCGAAAGCAGAGGGAACTGCCCAGAGTGGGAAGCGGCCGTGTAGATGAGGTAACCGATATAAACGCAGGTGGCGGGAAGAATGATGGTACCGAAGAGATCGATGAAGACGACGATGCGCATCGAGAAGAAACAGAAACCACACATCTCCTTGAGCCACATCAATTCAGCCAAGTTGTGAATGGTCGAGTTAATCCAACGACGACGTTGAGATAGCAGAACGCTCCAAGTTTCGGGGGCGGCCGTTTGGCAGTAGGCGTCGGGAATGAACTTGTAAGACATGTATGGGAAGTGCTTGGTCATGAGCGTGGTGAGGAAACGATCCTCACCAAGCGAGAGCAGGTTCTTCTTGTGGAGGGTGTCAACATAGCAATCGCTGTACTCGCGGATGATGTCGTCCGAGATAATGAGAGGCTTTCCCTTGTCAACAGTACGCAAGCGGTACATGGTGAAACTATTTGGATTGTCAGTATCGTTCGTTTACAACAGTCAGTGCGCATAAAGGACCGAAAAAACTTACCAACCGGGCAAACAGGTAACGCTGCCGAAAAGAGACTCGAAAGCCTTCGCTAAGTGATGAGAAATATAGTATTCGTAAACCTGGATCATAGTCCACCACGAAAGGTCCTCATTCTGCAGACTGGTTTCGCCGCAAATACCGGCAATCTTGGCATTGTTGGCGCAGGCAGCCACCAGGCGGTTGAGTGAATCTTCGCGAACGCAAGTATCGGCATCGACCATGAGGAGGTATTCGTAAAGTTCTGGGTCCACACCAATGATGTTGTTGATCTGGTGGAAGATTTCCAGTTCCAAGGGGTTCATGGGAGCACGGTGGTGGACGCGGTTAAGGAAGCTCATGAGCAGAATCTGCGAGTCACGCTTACCACGGTTACCGGGCTTTGACTTGGCCTGCTCAGACTCCTTGCCGACCTTGACAACCACGATATAAGGCACCACGTTTCCTTCGAATTCATACAATCCAGAGTAGACCTTGCCGTAGTTGAGCTGTTCGGCTCCAGTACCGACGGACTTGAAGGCCAAAGCAGGGGGGTCAACCTTGGGGTCAACACCGAGAATATCGAGGACGATCTTGGGAGTAGGACGATCGTTGCCAGCACCGACGATGACACCGTCGCAAATGACAAAGATAAGCTTCCGCTTGTTGTCGTACTGGAGAGCTGTCAAAGAGTCCAAGGCGTTCCTGAGCGAGTCTTCGCCTTCGGTATAAGCGGGCACCTGGCAGATGACGAACTTGTCCTGGGGAGCAGGGCGTCTCTTAGATCCGAATTGAAGAGCTGACACGAACTTGACAATGATGATGGCGCAAACAACAATGGTAAATGCAAGCAAGATGTAGTTGTTGACTTGACACCTGGCCGAATAACGGAAGTCGGGCTTGCCGATATACCACGTGTTCTTGACACAGTTGAGACTGTTCATAACACTCGCATACTGAGTCTTATTGCTGCTGACGCGATCGATCAGGTCGTGAATCTGATCTGTCAAGTCCTGACCGGGGCTGTTCTTGACGAGATTGGTGACCTGGGGTTCGAGGAAATCGTATCTAACATCGTTATTCAGAAGCTTGGCGGTGTGCAAGTAGTCGGTCAAGTCGTAAACGAGGTCCTCGTAGATGAACCACTGGTGATTCCACTCTTCGCCTTCTTGCTTGATCTTCTTGGTCTCCCAGACCACGTCGCCATGGTAGTACTCTTTGATACGAGGCAAGAACCTCTGGGTGTACCAGTATCTCTCACTGAGCTTGGTTCGAGGATTTGCCTGTTGAGGGCCGGAAATGTGGTCGGCGAAGCCAGCAAAATCAAGGGTGTTGTTGGGCAGCAACTTGATCGATTCACCAACATTCACACCAGGGCAGGAAATGTACCAAGGGGGCGGGAAATAAGGGGAGAGATCCTGGCCAGCAAGCTGCATCATTATATCCGACGTGGTGTCAATGTTGTTGTCGCTGTGCTGCAATCTCCAGAATTTGGTGATGTCGTAAACCTTGCCGTGGATGCTGACCCAGAAGTCATCCTCTCCCTGATGATTGAGAATCTCTTGCGAAGTCCAGGCTTTGTCGAAATTGGGGCAAAGAATACGACCGAAAAAGATAATCCAGAAAACGATAATGGCGTTCATGAGAAGGATGAAGAAGCAAAGAACAAACTTCTCACGCCAGGCCATGCGCACATCAGGTCGCTTCATCCGACCAACGAACTTGAGTAATGGCGATGGAATCCACCACGTCAGAGCCCAAACAGTAAATACCCAGATTTTCCTTTGGAAGGAAATAGGCCGCTCCTCAATCTTCTTGCCTTCGGCAAGGTCAGCGTCTAACTCCGAAACCAGCTGGCCTTCGGCGTTGTAAAAGACCTGTCCCTTGTATTGATCGCCCTTGGAACCAAGACCGTAGTCACCGTTGCGCATGGCGGTCATGTTGGTAGGAGCGAGGGAGGCAGCACGCACTGGGCTCGGGTTGAGGTTGTTCTGGCTAAGGTTACCCCCAAGGGCGAGGTGATCGTAGCTCCCGTTGGAGGTTCCGTCGGCAAAGGGAGAACGCATATTGTCAGTGGCGTATTGTTGGGGTGGGAAGAAGCCGCTTCCGTTGTGAGAATAACCCGAGCCCATGGTTCCAGGGGCCATCAAGTTGCGCATACTGTTGAGCCTCTCAGCTTCCATGGGCTTCAGATCCAACATACTTTCGGCTTCCCACCACGCGCTCTCCCTCATCCATACCCTCTCGTTACCGACAACAACCTCGCCGTTGCTCCAGCCACGCTCCAGAACCCAGCTCTCGATACCGTCACGGCCGTCCATACAGCCCAGAGGCCGATACCGCTGAGTGAATTCATGGTGGTCAAAGTCCGCGGTGTAGTCAATGTGCTTATTGCGTCTGTTGGCCCACTCGGACAGCCTCCAGGTGCGGAGCTGGCGTGAAACAGCTCCGGCTGACCAAGCTGAGTTGACGGCGGGAAGGGCAGCCAGGCTTGACGGCGAATCGTCCGTGGGATGGATGCAGAGGTGATACCAAGCGCGACTGCGGTTCAGAAGATCCGCAACATCCACACGGCCAGTGCGGCCGAGGTTGATACCCTCGGTGGGCACTGGGAACAAGAGCTTCCTCAGGAAACCCTCATCCTCTGAGGAGAAGGCAATCTTTTCCAAAATTTCCTCGCGCTTTTCAATCAGGCGTTGCCTTTCCCGGCCAACCGAGCCAACCATGATACCCAGATCAGGGCCACACTCTGCTACGGCATTCTGCATTTCCCGCACGACCGAGCTTGAAATGGGA